CAGCACAAGTCTGATGCAAATAGATCATTAATGTTTAGCAATAAATTGTGTCAAGCCAGTTTATTTCTTCATGCATGCTGTGACAAGCTGGAAAAAGGGTTGGCACAATGTGCACTCAGCAAAACAACCAACCTAAAAGGATCTTGTAATGTGACAGCCCTCAAGGTCAAAGCTGTAAGGCCAGTTGTCCTGCAAATTGCTATCTGGAGCCACTGTGGTGTGTGTGTTTGTGCGTGTGTGTGTGTGTGTGTGTGTGTGTGTGTGTGTGTGTGTGTGTGTGTGTGTGTGTGTGTGTGTGTGTGTGTGTATATGTGACTTGCCCTTTCTAACATAAAGGCCATGACATTCCTGAGATTACTGGTATTTCAAGCGACTCACTACTGAATGTTAAACCACTTTTGCCAACCATTTTTGCTTGAATGCTTCTGCAGAACTAATGCTTTTGTTTAATAGTGTGTTAAAATGACTGTTGATGAGTAAAATAAGACAGGAATTTGGGTGATATATATGCATCAATTGAAAGAATTTGCTTAGATGGACAGTTTAGCCAAGCACTATTGAAGACATATAGCATACATATTGTATCTCTGACTCAAAAACACATTTGCATTTACTTACTGCAGTTTGCATGTTGATGCTCTAGACAGACAACTAGAAAGTTGTAGCTTGTCTTAAATCAGCTTGTTTCCGTCTCTCCACAGAGCTCTCCACAGGATTCTACCCCTTCACCAAAACCATCCTACATGGACACATGACCAGCAGCAGCTGACAGGAGGAAGAACATACATAAAAAGGCAGACAGACAGAAATGAAGGGCAACAGACACCAACCACAGCGGCTCTGCCGACTATCAGCACGCACCGGAATAGAAGGATACGGATTTACTTGTAGTTTTTATTACCTTTTTTTTTAAAGAAACCGTGGAAAAAAAACATCTACTACTAGGCTAGAAGCATGATTTCGTATAAAACAAAAACCAAACACACAAAAAAAAAAACTAGCAACCAAAATGTGCTTCCTGTTATCTGTATCAGCATGAGTGACTGCTGCCGCATGGCCTGTCTTTAACTACAAATACTGAGGGAATACAAGGGAGGGTAAAAGGGTGGGGAGGGATGGGGAGGAGACACTACTGTGTGGGACAGGCATGCAATGTGGGGTATGGTCAATCACTGGCCCGTTTTCTAAACCAACAGGGGAAAGTGTATCAGTCAAAAAAGGGAGATTAAAATACTGAGAATTACATAATCTCTAGGCAACAGGTTACTCCCCCTCCTCCCTGCCACATTCTTCCAGCTAAGAGCATCACAAACTAGTTTTAAACCTGTCCCAGTGCTCTCTAAGTCCAGTAAAGCTACAATTATCACACAAGGATATTGGTGTTGTACATAATATCGTATGCACTAAAATGCTATACGTGACTGTGTGTTACGTGTGTTGTTTATGTTCTAAGATCCCTATGCGATGCCACTGATGCTGCTGTTTCAGGTACATAAGAATTTCCTCCCTGTTTTTCTCGTTTGGTTTGTTTGGTCTGAACCTATATATTATTCTATATATCAAATGTTGTGTCGCTCTGCCTGTTTTAAACGTCAGATTTTTGTGTGTCAGGTTGTTTGTTTCTTTGTGCTTTCCATGTGCTTTCGCCTTTTGCTTTTGACATGTCAAACTGTAGAGGGAAGACATGTTGTAAGTCATTTACTGTACTGTGGCTTTTTGAGGTTTGGGAGGCAGGTTTCTGCACTGAACCTGCCTCCCCGATCTCCTCTCAGAGTGGTTTGCCTTGTGGAGAGGGTGACAATGAGATATATGGTGAGTGAAAGATTATCACGAGAGATTAACCTACTCTACCATCCCACTCCTCCGCCTTTTCTTGTCCCCAGTGTGCTGTATCCTTGTGAGGTTTTGTGTGAATCAGATGTCTGTCTGAGCCAAAATCCCAATAACCAGTCTTCACTCTAAATCTTGCCCTTATTGCCCTACCTCCACCTCTCACCCCCTCACCCCTCCAGTCAGCCTCTCAGAGTAGATGTAGCAGTCCTGCCTACCTCCAGCAGGGGGGGCAGGATCCCACCTTCAGCAGCGTCTGATTGACCTCATCATGCAGTATATTATACCACCACACATGAGGTGCACTTATACACCATCTCACCACAACCACCGCCACCAGAAGATGTCACTTGATGAGGGTAAAGTAGCTGAAATGCTGGAAATAATGTAGCACTGGTTTGACTGGGTAAAAGATAAAGAGTCAGCTGGAGAAAGGAAAGTGTCAAGTCGAGGGTCGAGGACGTGTTGAGCTTTGATGTTTGTCTCCTTGGTAATTCTTTGGAGTGTAGCAAAGACAGTCAGTCACCAATCACTGTGATGAGAAACTGTAATACCGACCCGCAACTGTGAGCCTGACCCTTCCCGAAGCGTGTCTTTTGTTTCACTCCTTCTTTCTTTCTTTTTTTGTCTTTTTTTTCATGATTTACTGTCTTAATTACTGTACTTCAGCAGAAGCAATAACTGCTTACAAAAGGAAAGGATTGTTTGTGTGAGTGTGTTTGAGTGTGTGTTTGAGTGTGACATAGAGCGAGAAAGAGAGAGGGGGGATTTAGGATCATAGTTCATGTTCTTTTCTAAGATTTTGATCTGTTAATCACAGCTTTAGGCTGCTCCTCACTCCACACAGAAATGATGTCAGCACATTAGTATCCCACATTTTATCACTTTGACTCTCACAAAAAAAAAACGGTGAAGTTTTACACTAAGATTGGGCAAACACTGGTATGACTTCAGATGAGCCATCCCATCTGCAAAATGCCCACTGTCTGTTTTTGTTACTCATCAGGGAATGTAGGCGTGTTTAGTCATAGTTTTTAAACCTTAAAGACATTCATATGCACCTTGAAAGAAATCCTACTGTATGTGTGTTTGTGTGTGTGATTTGAATATCACATATTCAGTCCTGGATATCAGGACAATGTCAGAGTTGTGATAATATCACAGGAAGTTTTATTGCAAATGGACAAAGAGCAGAGGCTCTTAGATTATACATGTAATTCTAACTCACATATTTTTTTAAAGTTGATTTACCTCAATAAGCGTGCCATCTCACATGATATCAATTACCTACATGCATTTCTTTCAAACATTATGTTAGACATTGAATGCTTTATTATGGAAAAATATGTAAGTCACAGAAACTTTGCAATAATCACCCATCAATAAGTGTTTGTTTAGTACGGCTTCACAGCCAGAGATGATGAATGTAAGGTCTTTGGTATACTATAAGTCTTGTTATAAAATAGTCATCTGTGTTGGCTCTGTACTTTAGTAGATGATAGGGTATTCACTCTGTTGTTTCAACTCAATATCTGCTGTTGATCATCAACATTCATCAACATACACACAAATCATTTAACATGAGAGAGAAGACAGAGAAGCCTTTAAATGGGTTCTGGACACTTTAACAAATATCCCTTCATCAGATATTATTTCTATTTTATTATCTTTTTTAATAACCACAAAAAGTTGGATGTTAATAAAGATTACACATCAGTGTAATGGTGTATTAGCCCTTATGTTATAGCATACAGTTTGCTCTCTAAGGGCTCATACTTATGGTATGCTTGGGTTGCTTTCTGAAGCAGAGGCCGCTTATAAATCCACTGCTGATGTCAAAGTTAGAGGGGGGGGGTCCGATGAAAAGACAATAAGGGGGGGCACCATGAAGTCAGATGGAGTTGTGGGAAGACTCTGTGGCTCCGACGGCTAGTCTTTCAAGATGACAAGCATTTTTCCTCAACACAACCTTCCCCTAATTTCTACCCCCCTTTACCAAATATATAAGTCTGAGCCGATTCTGAGGCTTCCACACGGTGACAGTTTGAACGCGGTTTTGAAGAGAAGGAGTCCGAACACTGTGCAGAGGGAGGAGTGGTTACATCAGACAAAGTTCAGCTCTGCACCGAGGAACTACTGAGATGACGCCATGCACCAAGTTCATGCAAAAATATTAACTGTTGCAAAAACTAGAGAACACATGTATATTCCTTTAGAATGGATCGAAGACATTATTAACGCAATAGCATATTACTCAATACTAAGGAATGCAACTGCGCACATGCACAGAAAATGTTTTTAACATAAAAGGCTATATATATATGAAATATATGAAAATATATATATATATATATTTACTTAGAATGCTATGCACCCTTACTTGTCAAATGGGATTCTAGTTATGTTATGGATGTACTTTTAGCATCATACAGCTGTAGCTACCAAGAGACTGTTGAGTTCTGGGTAATGCCTGCAACCTGGGGATAAATAGGGGTCTTGTGGGTATTTTAACCTGTTTTGTTTGCTTTTTTTATTGTTATGGAGAGTCGAACATGAATTTAAAATATAAATGTAAAAGCCTTTTAATCCAATCAAAATCCGAGAACATCTATTGACAATTTACTCTGTACACCAGCTCAACATTTACAAAAATTAATAAAGAAATGAAATGTGTTTGTGTATAGTGTGTATACTTTTGTGTGAGACGCACGCCCAACTGCTGATGACCGTACTGTAGTTTTTAAGTGTTGTATACATTCTGTATACAGGCCTTGTCCTGTGCAGCCTAATGAAGATCATTACATCCTATAAGACCTTCACCAAAATACCAAATACCAGAGCTACTCACTGAAACTCTGCAAAAGCTCACATATAGACAAATTAATGCACCAGTGGCAAGTGCCTATATCTGTTTTCAGTATGCATTACATAAAACCAGAAGCTATTGCTTGTATTTGCCATATGTTAGGGTTATAACTGGTGGTAGTTTCACTGCCAGTATCATAAGAAGTTGATCTTTCAGCCTAATTAGATAGTCTATATGATGACAGGGGTCTATTAAATATGCTTTAATGTAATATATACAGCCATTGCACAGGCATTATGTACCAGTAGGGGGCGGGATAACTTCACTTTGTCCACCTCGGGAGTTATTTTCCCCCTGCAGCTTGTCTGCTGTCTGCTGTCTGTCTGTCTGTCTGTTGTTTTGTGTGCATGTAGAGAGTGAGTGGAAGCGGAGAAACAAAAGACCCTGGACACTTTGTGTGTGTGTGTGTGTGTATATGTGTGTGTGAGAAAGACACTGCATGTTGTAATGTGACCAATCTAGATACTGCCTTTCATCATTTGCACTTATGAAACAGGAGGTATTTATTTTTATTTATCCGAAAGGAGCCATTCTGTTGAGCCAAAGCAATATCTGAAACAGGCGCGGCGTGGCTTTGTTGTGTTGTCAAAACCAATAGTTTGTTTCTTTGTTGTTGCCAGTTTCATGTCCTTCAGTTAGCTAGTTTTAGTTCATTAGAGTTGAGAGAAGATGTCCACTGACTGCCAGAAGACCACTGCCAAGGCCATCCCGTCGACCAGGAGGGTGACCATCAACGACGCGACGCACATGCCCCACGACTACTCCTCTACCCCGGGAGGGACCCTGTTCAGCACTACCCCGGGTGGTACGAGCTGTTGTTACACCTCTTATTAACTTCTATGTGTCGGAGAGACGTGCTGCTACCCACGGTCATACATGATTTACGCTCTTATGCACACTGAACAGCTGTGTGCAGGCTAACTCCATGAGGTCGGTCGCTGTCAGAAAACGCCACCGTGCACAACCAGCTGCTAGCTCTGTTTGAGCTAACTGCTAACGCTAAGCTAGCAAGTGTTTGGTTGCAAATAGACGCAGATTGTTGACGTTATTGACTCTAAAGCTGTGGAGTAAGTGTGAGTGCATGCATGTGGGTGGCATATCGTCCATTGCAACTTGTTTTCTGGGTGAGATGAGACGTGTTTTCGGGGTTTTATTGTGGGTTTTATCAGCTGATGTTGAAGCAATAGCGACACCTAGTGTCCGCTGTCGGTAATGGTGCTCCTGGTGGCCACCAGTCCACATTAGATACTGTATTTAACAGGTCCCTACAGACTGAGTTACTCTGCCCCTTTATACACTAATAATAGAATACACTTACATCAAGAAAAGTACCATTTATAGATGGTGATACGGTTAGATTTGATGGCCTTCAAATTTGAGTTACACCAACATTACTAGGTTTAGATGGTGGAGGAAGCTGCAGCAGAGTAATGAAGAGAAGTGATGAATGATGACTGAAGCAGCTGATGGTCTTCCTTCTTCTTTTCCTGCCTCCAAACACAAAAGGTACCAGGATCATCTACGACCGAAAGTTCCTGCTGGAGTGTCGCAGCTCTCCAGTGGCCAAGACTCCTCCGCGAGGTCTGCCCAAGATTCCCGGGGTGACCAGTCCTCCCTCTGGAGACACCAACGAGAAGGCCCGTAATGGAGAACTACTGAACAACAACAACATCCCTGCACCTGAAAGCAGCAACACTGGTAAGTTCACACCTCAGGGTGACTGTAGCTATTAAATTCAAAAGCTGCAGCACTGAAAAGACCTCAGTTATGTCACATGTATCACTATCTGACATTAAATCATTAACCTGTTTTCACATAGCAGCCATTCTCTGTCTTTCATGGATGATAGAAGCCCGTTTTGAGGTTTGAACACAAGATAAAAGGAGGTCATTTGTACCTTTTTATCGTTCAACCTGAGATTTGGAGCTTTTTTTGTAGTTTTGCCCTAACTAATGAGTAATAATAATAATATTTATTCATATAGCACCTTTTTAATTAAATTAAGCTCAAAGTGCTTTACACTCAAAAAATAATAAAAACAGATACATGTTAAGTAGCTATTCTGTCTTCAGTGGACACAGTGTTAGCTAGAAACAGTTTCCCTGCTCGTTTTGCGGGATTCTTCAGGGACAGTTAAAATACCAGATTCAGAGGCCCTAAATGTAAGTTTAAGGACCGTATTAAAATCACTTCTAATATGCAGGGTCGCTAAAACAAGAGTAATGTGCTCTCTTTTCCTAACTTTTGTTAAAAGTCAGTATCTAGTGACGTATGAGTCCTGTCAACATAATTTTATGTCAGATTTAGAGTTGTTATTTCAATAAGTCGACTTGCAGCAACCTGAACATCTGCGTCAGTCTCACATATGATTGTCAACATTTTCTTGGCTGTGGCACAAGATGGTGACTTATCCACCCCACCTACAAAGCTCTGATTGGGGGTTGGAGCTCAGCTAAGACCTGATATGATTTCTTATTAGTTTTTGTCAGTTTTATTCTTGAATGACTGATTACTTATACAGGCAGTTGCAGTCCATCAGAACTAACCATTTACTTAAAACATATTCATATATCTGAGTTTGTTTGAAAAGACAGACACATATTTGAAGGCATTTCAGGTTAGATAACTATATTAAAAAAACATATTAGTTGTTGGTTCTTGTCAAATTAAATGAATCATGGACACCCTGTGGTGAATTGGTCACTGCCAGATGTTCTTCATCAGTTTACCTGCTAATGATCCTACAGTCGTCCTGCTGTGAGTTCAATGTAATACAAGACTGTTGAATCCTAATGTAGTAAGACATTTGCTTTATGAAGTATTTGTGTCTTCTCTATTTTATTTTTTATAGGTGATGATGCACAGTTTGAAATGGACATCTAGGTTGTCCTGGAACAAGTATTAAAGTCAGACTTACCAACAAGATGCTGTGAAGAGAAGCTCAGGAGCACCTTCTCTTTTCATCATCCATTCCATGAGGATGGAGGTTCGCCTTCAGTGTCTCCAGTGTCTTAGTGTTTTTAAAGTCTGTCTTTATCAATCTCATTTGCTTGTTTTGCCCAGAACAAATCTGTAATGAAACTTTTTCTGTCTGCCTCAAGGCTTAAACCTGATTTATGTGTGACAAAGTGTGCCTTCCTGTAGTGGCTACAAGTTTAAAATCAACACTGAGTACTTAACACCAACAAAGCCTCATTCATAAGAACAGAGATAATTGAAATGAGCTGAATTTATAACCATTCCAGAAGGATTTGTCACTTGATGTGCTTTTATTTCGACACATTTCCTGACACCTCTCTTCAGATATTGCCTTGAAATGTTCAAGATACTGTATAATTTGTTTTTCCCGAAGTGTCATACAGAGAATGTAAAAACAATTTTGTTGATCAAATTTTTTGGAACAGATTTTCACACGGTTTGTATGGTGACAAAGCATTAAAGCAATTCTGTGCTCCTAGTGAGTCTTGTTCTGTCTTGTCAGTGGATTATAATTTCACAACAGTCAGGGTAATGTCTTCATGGTTATCGGTTCACTGGTCTGAATACACATTTCTCTAGGACTGTGCCACCTGAAAGAGCAAAAAGCCAAGAAAGCCATTGACTATTTACACAATAAAAAGATTAGATGACTATTAGCCGAGCCGAGTTCAAATGTTTCCTGATTTAAAGTGAAGAGTTAATACACATCTTGGAATAATAAATCTGGACTAAGACATGTTGCTCAACAGTCTTTAGCACTTCCTGTGCTCCACTGATTCACCACAAGTCATATCAGAGGAATTCCTCACGGAGCTCGCTGGCAACTGATAACCTCGGTCAATACACAACTGAACATAGCTGGAGGAGACTCCCTCCCTCCTAAGAGCCAGATGGGGTCATAGAATCATGCAACATTTCTGTTCCACTTCTCTTTTCCGTGTTTTGGTATGTTCATTTTGAATTGGTTTACTAGGCTTTTCCCTTTTGATGTGAATTTATTATATAAATGCTTCCAAATAATCGATGTCCCAGGACGTCTCAGGCTACAGAGTTAATGGGTTTTTCTAAGCCCCTCTCTTTGTTCTGCAAGTTTCCAAAGATGTGCAAAGTCAGGTGCAATTGGACAATTTACGATCCCCAGATGTTAATGTGAACAGTTGTGTTCAGCTTTCAGTTCTCTCTCTGTCTTTTACAAATGCATGCTGAGATATGCTTCAGTTCGCCTTTGCATTAACCACTGAATAGGACTAAACAGGAAGAATTTGCAAAAGATGTTATGGCATGTATGTAAATGGTGTTAAAGGTACCTGATCATTGGTGCACTGAATAACTGCAGAACAGGACCGTATGTAGCAGAAAGTAGTACTTACTTTAGGTCCACTAATTTGAACACAACTACTGACAAAGATTTTAAAATGTGCAGGAATATAAGATAAATATTTATCTGCATTAATTGGTAATAATTCCCAAAAGAGTGGAATTGCCTGACCACCAAACAAAGGTTTGTTAAATAACTGTGAGAGAAGTGACACACAATGTGGAGGTGATGATATCAAGCTCTCCTGCTGTGTGTGTTGTGTTTTCTGGACAAACAGTGTTTGTGCATCATCATACTCATCCTATTTCATCATCTATGTGAAAAACATACCTTTTGTGGTAAGTATAGGCTGGTTAAAAGCTTTCAGGCATCATTGCTGGCAATACAATTGCGTACAGTTGAATAAAACCGAAAGTTACCAGAGAACTTAGTCTGGTCTTGTCTTGGGTAGAGGTGTGGATTGAACGGTTTCAGTCCACCCTGTCCTTCCTCCACAGTAGCTTCAGCATCCAGACGTTGACTCTCTCCATTCCCTCACATTGCTCTCTGTTTGTTTGGGCTCTCCTCTTGTCACCTCTGCTTCCTGACGCCCCCCTCCCCAAAGTAAACAAAGGCTACTGCTTTTCTCCCCCCCCATTGCTCCATCCTTCAGTATACTTTTTGGGTTGTTGCCTGTTTGATCACAATCAACAAAAGAAGCCTGGCCACAAAGGACACTAATGACCTCTGATGATGTGTGTGCTGTAAAAGGCCTAAAGATGTGGATTGGAGGTGAGGAAGGTAAATACCCTAAGATGTTAGCTGGTCACAAGTCACAGAAGGCAAGTGGGATTAAGATGTAGATGAGTATCTACGAGCAGGTTGAGGCTCTGAGGAGAGCTTTCTGTTAGGTCACAGAGGTTGTACAACAAGTTTATGTGGATTTTGTTCTATTTCATAGCTACTGCTGAGAGATTCAATGGGAATCACTACAAATAAAATCCAGAAAAAACTGGACCATTTCTATATTTCTTTCTAGATGTACTGTTAGCTATTGTAATACACATATTATTTCTGCTCTTAATGTCATGTTAGCACCTTGATCCCCCATGGATCAGTAAGATATCTCTGAATGTGAGGTCCTGAATATTTTTTAAAATGTTGCAAATCATTGATTTATGCATGGAAGCAAATAATGACCATAAAGATTTAAATGTTATCTAATGTTATTAATAATACCTTATTAAGTTGAAAACTATCCCATCCCCTAAAATTTTCTGTGGTCAATTAAAAAAAACTTGCACAATAACACAAAAAAAAGTATAGTGGTAAGTATAGTGTTTTAAACTCAACACTATATATATTATATTCAGAAACTATGTTCAAATTCAGTCGTGTCCAAAAAACACAAAACATCACAATCATGTCAAAATAAATTGTTTTAATATATTGTTTCATATTTTATGTACAAAATAAACATTTTAATGTATAAATAGATAAAACATATAACATTTGCATAATGGAGCTTTCTTCTTAAAGATATATACTATTGTGTACCACCCAGTATGGATGAGATAAAATCATTCAAAGTTAACAGTCATATCTTGTAGTTTGTTGAAAAAGGCCATGACTAGGACTCTCAATCTACACGAAGACAGTAGAGAAACAGTTGAATTAAAGTTCAAACTCCGTTGCTAGTGGTTCTTGTGACTGCAGCGAAACCGGCGATGGGCTGGCCTTTAGTGACAGCCACACTCTTCGACAATCATGTCCTCGTGATGCCGCAGGGCCAAATCATCGTTCTCGTAGTACAGCATAGAGAGCGGGCTGAGGCGCGTTGGCACGCAGGACGGGCAAGACCCTCTTTCTGGATGGTGATGTCGCAAGAGGCTCTGAAAAATATATGAATGATTCACATAAATAAACCAGCAACTAGACAACAACTTGTGATTGTATAAAATGATAAAGAGTGGGGGGATCATGTTGTCATCTTACCTGCATGTATGCATGGTTGGTGGGACGGAAGGACTCATCCAGAGGTGTAGGACACTCTCCCTCACAGCGATATGCATTGTAGCGCTTAGGGTGCACAATCCACTCGTCCCATCCGATCTGGTCAAAGTCCACCCACATGTCCACCTTCCGACACAGAGGCCTCTGGGCCGGCTCTGCTGCTGCTGGTGCAGCAGTAGGTGAAGCTCCGTCGGCCACTCTCAACCTCTCCATTCTGTTCCTTTTGTGGCGTCGACTTTGACCGTCACTGCTGACTCTGTCCCTGGTCACATACTTGGAGTTCTCCACAGTATGAATGAGACTGTATGCTGTATGGCCTTCCTGTGGCAGGTTATGTTTGGAGAAGATGACCATTGTGACCCTGTTCGTGGTTGGATGGTGAATTTTTCTTTGCCTTGACCCTAAATTCTCCAAGAGGGACTCAGTAATCTCCCCTTCATCCCCAGCACCGCTCCCATGGTCCATGTCAGGTTCTCCTGAGGCCTCTTGGCTCGGCACTCTATCTCCCTGGTACAGCCAATATTTTAACAGAGCAGTCACATTAAAAACCTTCCAGGAAGACTTAGTGCTGCTGGGTGATGTACCGAAGCTCCCCAGGAAAAGGTGCTCATCCTGGCATGAAGTGCTGTCCAGGTTACAGCTCTGCTTCCTGGAGTGATATAAATCCACAGTGGCACGCTCAGAGCCAGAGAAAGCGGGAAGTCTGATCCGAAGTTCTGCCAGCTGGACAAGGTCACTAGTAGAGATGGACGACATGTCAAATGTGACTGTCCATCTTTCACCCTCTTGATGGCAACCTAAAAATGAGACAAAACATTAAAATGAGAATCCACGCACAGCAGTCAGCAGTCTGGATGATTCAGGGGCAAACCAGATCCCTGGACAAATGTCAAAACACCAGAGTGAGAGGGTGAACAGGACAGGATGTGTATTGAACCCCCCTGTGCAAGGACGTCTGAGGGCTAATATACACACCCTCTCACATAAAACAGAGAAAGCCTTTAAAGTCGAATAAGCATTTTGACACTTGCTAGGTTGTAAAAAGGGAGAGTCTGATAACACAGATAACACAGCAGCCAACGAGCTGCTGGAGGATAGAGCACACTGAGGAGAAACTAACATATACAGGATATAACATGCTTTAAATCCAGTGATGTAAAAAAACAATAAGTAAATAGTTAACTCACCTCTGGCCATCAGACTTAGGACGGAGTCAGAACTGTGCGCTGACACGTTTTCGCCCGGTGTAGTGATGGTGTTGACAGGTACTGACAACAAGGAATCAGCCGTCCTGAAGGAGCGGTACAGCTGCATCATGTACAGAGGGTATCTGCTGCGATGACTTGTTGAGAGATTTCTGAATGCTAAACTGGCCTCGAGTCCTGTGTGATATCTGTGCCCCTGAGTGGAGAAAACAACTCCAGAAGAGCAAAAGAGGAATGTGACGAAAACAGTCAGGACTCTAGCATCCATTTTAACTAAAACTCACAAAGTCTACTGCAACAATAATGAGAGACAGAGAGAGAGAGAGAGAGGCAAAGATCTCCTTCCTCTAGCTGAGCTGAGGCTGAAATGATGCTATGTGCAGACAGAGCTCCAGCCAGGCCCCTTTATAGTGGACAGCTGCCCTTTGATGACCCCTGACCACTCCAGGCATCTTAACAGCCCCTCTGATCATCAGAGCACATCACAGGGGCAGAAAAAAACAAACATTTAGCCAAGGTCATTGTCCTGTCAAACTGCCTGGCTTTTTATATTCATTGAGGAACCTAATCCTTTAGAAATGTAAAAATCCATTAACAAATAATTCTTTAAATGCTGTACAGCCATTAACACCTTACTGTTTAGCAACAGTGGGAGAAGTAACGTATAATTTCACACATACAGAAACAAATAATAAAGGTAAAAGATAAAATAACAAAACAGACTTTTAAGACAAATTTAATATTTAAAAACACAAATCTTTTTTTATTTATTTAACAAACATAAAATACAACACTTGTCTTATCTGCTCGTTCCTGGTTGTCATTCGGGAATGTGTAAAACAGTAACATACACAAAATCTGTATTATATTCAGTAAACGGTCCAAATGGTCATATTAGTGAAAGCACATATCATTTATAATTTGAAAAAGATATAAAATCACTCAACAGTGTTTCTCTGTGTTTCAAGCGCTCAGATGTGTGAATTATTGTGTTACAGAGATTTCAAATTAAATAAACAGTACAAGAAGTGACTTCAAAACAACGCTACAACACATAAAATAACAACAAAAGATGTAACAATCTAAAAGTCTCTTTAGAAGCAACACATTCAAATAGACAAAACTGTGTGTTTTATGTAGTATGGTCCTGTAAAGACAGAAGCTAATCAAAAAGAGAAAAGCTTTTATATTACTTTATATTTCACTCTATGAGGCTTGTGTGTAGTTATGTGTCAGTTAACACACTTGACTGACTGAGGTCTGACTGGTCTCATCCGATTCCTGCTGCTGATCTTCTTATAAAGCATTGAAGAAGTTCTTCACCTGTGTATGAAAAGGTGCTTTAAGATCACAACGGATCAGAAACATGAAACGCATCAGACATCAGATCAGAAAAAGGGAATGTGTCTGACAGGGAGGATGAAAAATGAGGTCCCAAACATTAGGACGGGGCCCTCCTGTGGTTGTCCCTGACATAGCAGCTATTACAGCAAAGTGCAATAAATAAAAACATACCTCAGTTATAAACTGCTCCCGCACGACTGGGTCACTCTGAAACTCCACACTGGCATCGAGTTGTAACACAGGGATCTGTTTCAACTTCTCAAAATGTATTCTGAAAAAAGGGAGAGAGCCGAGCTGTATTACACAAAGTCTCCCGGCCACACACTGCTGACTGTCATCTGTTCACAGCTGAGCAACAAACAGCTGCAAGGAAAGGCATTTAAAATGGCGATTGAACAGGAATCTGAGTGGAGCATCCTGTAATGCAATGGCTGCACCACCGCTGGTAATTTCACTGAATTTATTTTATTTCAACACTTTATATCAGATTCTGGTTGGATTATTATATTTAATTATTATTATAAGTCTCTACAGGTTTTCACACTGTGCACATCAGGCCTGCATTCACAGTAGCCACCTGATTATTAAAGTGCATCAAAAAGGATCTATCAGCCAGAAGACTTTAACTTTACACTTCAAAAGGTTGTGTAATGTTGTGTCATTGGAAATATTCAACATAAAAGTCTAAAGATAGACAGAGAGAGGACACACACATCACAACTCACTCAGTGCTCTTCTCAACAAGCCACCTCTCATGTTGAACGTGTAGCTTATTCAGATAGTCCAGTTTCACTCCCTTCTCTTCTGCCCTTCCCCGACGCTCCAGGCGCTCCATACATTTCTGAGAGTTATAAGAGGAATATTTGAATAACACAAATATAAAAAAGTCAAAATGATGTGCTACAAACATCTTTTTCCCTCGTGTCAGATTAATTACATCTCTTGGTAACATTAAATCTCTGAGGTTCATACCTGAGGTGGGGCTCTGAGGTAGATGATGCCCTCCAGCTCCACCTGGTGTCCAAACTGCTCCACCAAGAGGGAGTGCCAGTCCTGGTAGACTGCCCACTCTGTAGAGTTTATACAACCCAGATCAAACATGTTCAGGGCAAAGATGTATCTGACAGGACAGAGAGTCAAGGAGGAGAATGCAGTTAAAAGGTACATAAAGTACATGTATCCATTTCATGAAATTTATATCATGAGCATAACTTTAATCAATAACAAAAATAATATAGTTATAATGTGTCAATTTATGGATAGTGGAGAAAGTCAGCAGCTTCCTCGCTCACTCTGATTGAAATCATTTTAGTAAAGAAGACATCAACATCTTCTCGCCCATCTGAGATGATAATGGGTCTTCTGGGGACCCAAACCTGCAGTGCCCTGACTCACTCACCTGTCACTGTAGACTGAGCGCTCATACACCTGGACAGGTGTTCCCTCTGAGCTGAGCAGGTGAGCAGGAGGAGGCTCGAGCTGAGTTCTCAGCCGGCTCATACAGGAGTACGTCTGAAATGTGTACGACCAGCGCTGAGGGTCCTGGTACATCATCTGAAGCAGGTTGCTGACTGTTGTTTGGGGGGACCCGTCTGTCCCCTGTCAAAAACAGAAGTGGAGATGGTCAGCCTGGCCTCCTTTTGATTGTTGTTGGGGGAAAAGATATAGATGTGAAGAATGTGCACAAACCTTCGAGGTACCACTCTCAATGTTCTGCCACTTGCTTACAGGTTCTGCCACCACCTCCCAGTCTGGACAAGCTGACTGCAACAGTCGTGCAAAAGTCGACTTTCCAACAGCTGATATTTGAGATGACATAATACAGGAGATCACATACAGCTAATGACGTGGCACACAAATATCTCATCTTATTTTGAAATACTGTAACTTACCAATGTTGCCCTCGATAGAAACTCTCTTTACTCGAGCGGATCCAGCCTTAGTTGAACTTGAAAAGCACCTTGAACAAGAAAAACTGAGCTTCCCTGACTGACTGGCCATGGTGCTGAGGTTAGTTGTCTGAGTTATGGCTGTGTTTCCAACTCCCCACACGGTGTTATGTGTCTTCCACGGTGAAGATGGCGCATTGTACCCAAATCTCATGACCTGTATCAAACCTGTCTGTTTCTTTAACGTAGAAACACGGTACAAAAGAGCGCATCGATACAGAGTAGACATTATGATATAAATAAATACAAGTACATAAGTATTACAACATTAATCTGCATGTCATCACCTGGTGCCGGCTGACGTTAGTGAGACAACCTCATGGTAGTTAGCTAATCATCTCCAGGATGTAGCTAACATGAACTTTCGTTATGAATAGTCGATTTCCAGCTATATGTGCAACTATTACTGCATTTATAAACACCGATATATTGCTTGAGTTGTTCTTGTTGCGCTCACTTTTTCGTGCCTCGCATATTTACTGCCGGTAGGTGAAATTAGTAGCATAACTTTATATAAAAATGTGTCCAAATGCTACAAACAGTAGCCACAGGAATCACTTCCGGTGTACACGTTCTGTACTTTCACAATAAAAGCATTTTGACAAACCGGGGGGGGGAATGATTAATGCTGGATTTTTACAAGTTTAGCTATATTGAAAGTTTGGTCATACGTCCGAAAGTACTTGTGCTTTGCCCTGAGATTTCCACCAGATGAATGAGGTCCATTTTTATTTCTGTTCATGCAGAAAATCTGTAGACATATAGCATGTTTTTCTCATTTTCACACAGTTTTTAGACATTTAAAGCCGTATAGTTTGAGTGTTTTATTCGTTGAGTGTGTACCTCGGGATAATGCCTGTTCATCTTGATTCATGCTGACATTTGGATATTTTTTCTTTATTATTTCCAAGAGAGAGCCACTCTTATGTTTTCAACCTCAGCATCAGACATTCAATCAAAAGTGTTAATGGCCTATGGAAATATGTGTCACAAAATATGAGTCACAGCACCCCTTTTTCACCCCCAGCCATGTCACTTTGAAGACATCCAATGTTTTATTTCTAGGGTTTGATCTTGTACTTCAATCAATTTACTGTTCAAACTGTAACAATCTGCATGAAAATGTCAGCTACAAGAAATGTCAGCATCAAATAATATATGTTTGGAGCCCCACTGACACAAGTAAGTGTGACAATGTCAATTAGCACTCCATAATGCATAATAAAGGTACTTTAGACACATGCAATACAAATCTAATTAACCAAATTGCATGGTTTTGAATGACCATGTTACTTTGTAAAGAGATCTAATAATTTATACAGGCAATCACTTGCTTATAATTCATATTTTGTTTGTAACAAAACACAAACTTACAGAAACTCTAAAGGCCATCACAACCTTCTTTTATTTGTTTAAAAAAGCAAAGTCACGCATTGTAATTCATTTGAATAAACATTTTACACTCATTTAACAATCCATCATAAAAAAAGCTTTACAATTTACGTACTAAAGTTAGAATATTCACACTAAAGTCTCTTCAATTAGTTCTAAATTACACTTTATTATTCAAGTTTCAAACCTACTTGAAATATATGTATAATCAATGGTTAAAACAACAGAGGATAAAAAAAACAAAAGATTGAACTGCTTTTGTGATTTGATCACTGTTGACTGTGACTGACTCTCAGTAGCTTGTGTTTTTGATGGTGATCTTTTGAGCTGCCTTAATCTTGAAATCACCGACACCTGAGGGAGCAAACCAAAAAAGTGAAATTAAAGCAGCAGGTAAAATAAATAAAGAGAATGCTGTATTAGTAAGTCACAATGTATAAGTGTGTGTGTTTCCTCACCCTCACTGAGTGCAGTACCATCAGAGGAGAGGTGCCAATATCTGCGGTCGCTCTGTCTGGCCTGCTCTCCATTCACCGCACTTAAGAAGGGTCCCCACAGACTGGTCTCCTTCTCAAACCTGCCAAAGAGCATCAAATATTACTCATGCAGGACTTTTGTTTGAGTTTAAAAAGCTGAAATTTACCAAGTTACATCATATGAACTCACGTGAAGCCAACATTTCCCGCCTTGAGAAGTTCAAGGGCTTCCAACAGAGAGCTGCCCTTTGGCACATCCACAGAGTAAACAGCAGCTGGCCCGCTGGTCGTCACCACTTCCACGATCACAGTGACTTTGGTGTTGCTTGGTAAAACCACCACAGGATCTATGGGCTCCAGCACCAGAGTGTCTGTAGAAAGGCACACACCATGACAACAACAGTGACAACCTGAAACCACCTGAAGTGACTGCAGGGGGAAGAAATAACGCTGCACATACCATCGTCATTGTCGCACTCCTTGCTTTTAACTGTCAGGTAGGATTTCTGGTGGAGAGCTGGCAGGATCTGAGAGATGGCCATGGGGTTATGGTATGTGTTGTTTCTGGCGTCTGCCCTCATGGCCTCCATCGGGACAGCACACTCTGCAACTGGGCTTCCCATTGCCAGTAAGGCCTTGAAAACATCAAATAAGTACATTTTTAGCTGCACAGGTGGTGGTGAAAGAGACAAGGGCAGCTGAGCAAAAAAGATCCTTACTTGAACTGCAAGGCCTGTGCTGAACTCATTGCCAATGTGACCATCAGTCCTATGAGAGGCCAAGAGCTTCTGCTGGATCTTGGTAAGGGCTGTGTCAAGCTCAGCAGCATTGTGCAAATAAGAGCCAGCATCCTTCACACACTGCAGTGCCATTCCAGCCATGGCATAGGTATCTATGGACAGAAAGTAGGATTCAAATGTGTGTTCGATTGTGAGTGGTAAGTAGAGTAGCATCTATTAGACAGTTTTTATTCCAAGAACTGAGATGTATCCCTGCCAGCATATTTCTGCACATCGTTTATTTAATCATATCATTCATTTAGGAAGGTTTCACTCACCAACACTCTCAGATTCTCCATGTGTGAAGTGCTCATGTTCGACTGCCTTGATGAGCTTGTGGCTGACATGGTGGTTGACCCTGATGCTGCTCACGCAAAGAGCGAGCACGCCCAGAGAGTACTGGTAATAGTTGGTCAAAGGGCGTTGGCTGACTGCGAAAAAGGAGAGAAGGAACGAAAGAAACCAAATTATATTAAAACATGAAGAAATTCTCCAAAGCAACAGACACTACAACAGATGGAATTAGTTGCTCTAATGACAAAAGTAGATTATGAGCTTAAAGTAGATTATTAAAATAATCTAATAACATAAATACAAAACATATAAATTATATAATGTTAAATTGTTTAATTTACTTCAGGTCAACCCAAGTTTTCTTTTTTCTTGGATTTCCTTTCCACACTAAATAAACTTTGAACTCATTTTGTAGCAAAACGTAAAACAAGCTGGTGAACACTTTTTATGACCATGTTGGCCTCCAAAAGGTCAAAGGAAAACTTACAGGCAATATGCTCTTTTTCTAGTTCCATCTGCTTCTTCAGGTGCGTCAGCAGCGTCTCACTCCTCTCGTTGACGGTGAAGGTGACTGTGTTGAGGTCAGAGCAGGAGGACTTCAAAGCCAGAGTGTACAGCGCCAAGAGGCCGACCACAGACTGGCTATTAGAGAGAGAGCTGAGAAAGACACAGGAAACTTAAGTTGTAGGTAGTACATCAGAAAATAAATCAATGGAAATACAGATTTTAAATAGAAGAAGAATGAGTGCATTTGTAAAATGTGCAATACCTTTGAATGTTATTGTGCAAATGACTTTTCAGCCTGGCCAGGTGTTCTCTCTCCTTGTTCAGGTTGTGGTGATTGGAAAGCCGTAATGCCAAGTGAACACTGGGATTGGGGAGTCCTTCCTGCGTCTCCAGAGAGCGAAGGAGATTCTTATTGAGTGACAGGAGCAGCTCACTGTTGGATCCTTCAGTATCTGGGTTAAAATATTAAAAATAAAAACATTTCTCAGAAGTTTTGGTCACAGGCATAAAAGTATTTCAGTAACTCCTGCTGACATCAACATGAACTTTCGAAGCATTGCAAAATCAGAACTGCAGCATCAGCAGTCACAACGAGAGGAAACAAAGACTGTGCAGACTTAATAATGGAAAGAACTCTAGTTGTGTTCATGTTTCAAATATGTCTCTCTGTGATATTTAACCTCCTCAGTGATGACCAAAAAGGTGCCAACATTGTCAGTAACTGACAGTTGCTCAACTTTTGTCAATGAGCAAGCAATGTGAAGGCCATTTAAAATCAAATTGCAAAATCAGTAAATGTCCAGACCAGTGAGTCAGTGTATTTGTACAGTGGTTTCTTCCCTGAGTTCAAACAATGTTAGTCAATCGGGAGTTTTAATGATTGGTAAAACTGGTTTTATTAAAAAATAATGAATAATACTTACCACATGGTTTGCCAGAAGCAAAAGCCAGGAGGCCTGTGATTAAGACCAAAGACAGCATTCTGGACAACCTGCTGGACAACACAAACAAGGAAATCAACATATTTGTCTAAAATGTTAAAGTGACAACACAAGTACTCTAAAATGGGGAAATCAAAAAAACCCTTTCTAGTCTGAAAGTTTTTAGGTACTTTAGAGAGGCAGATACACAGATGCCAAACAGTAAATCCTAGAATAACTGCAATAAAATACCTATGGCTTACATAACGTACATATCCACTCAGCGTTGTAAGTTAAATGTTCATAACAGCGTTATTATAATACTATTACAGCAGCTAGGTGTTTAACCTGTACGCTTTTTTTAAATGTTGCAGTAAACAGTTGTGTTTTACCTGCTCAGGGTGACTCCAGTGTGAAGAATCAGTGGTGAGTGAGAAGACAGGCAGAGACAACAGCTTCTAGTATTTCAATGTCACATGACTCGTCATTTGAGATGACAAAGCGATGAAAAAAGCAAGATGGTCCCTTTAAACACAGCTGTGAGTCGGCCCATGAACCGGATGTTGGAGGAGATGATGCTCTCAATCGCATGTACTCTTTGGTAATGTGACCATACCATTGACCGTATACATACAAACCAAGAGGCAGGTTACTATCTTGCTTTGCATATACAGTACATCGTTCTCCGGTCAACGGCTGCTGCGCCGGAGTCTAACTGACATTTTAACTAGCTAAGTAGCTTTAACTGGTGCTAACGCATCAACACATACTTCTTCGCTAACGTTGCATCTGTGTCTCACCGTGTGTTTTAATCATTGACAGTATATATTTATATTTATATGTATTATTATATATATTAACACAAACAAGACGTAGCGAGTTGTTCGTCCACAGTAACTACAATTCCCACAATTCACCTAACGCAATAGACGCACGTTCTAGAACCCTGACGATTGTTCTGGCGCGACTCACTCTTCTGGAATAGCTCGCTAACGTCGGTTAAACCAACCCAGCCTGCCTTTCACGCAGTTCACGCCACAGGGACCGTTCATTGCGGGGGACATCTCTGCTTCGAGGTGGGATCAGAACGGTGGAAGACCTGAACCTGCACTGCCTGTTGCTGTGTGCTAACGCGAGTATCCCCAAAGCAAAACACTGCGAACGGACGGAGACTAGCTAGCAAAACAACAACAATAACAACAACAACAACAACATCGAGGGGCAGGGCAGCTGCACAGGTCGGTCGGCAGCGATGCATTTTTCTGGTTAACTAACTTACGCAAAGTTATTACACAGCACAGGGATGACCGTGCCATTTTATATTAATAGTCCATTGTGCCACATTAACAGGAACATGCACCACTGACATTGTAGCTAGCTGGGTCCACACATATTTATAACTTGTGCGTCATGTAGGTTACAGAAAACACCGTCAGCTTATCTGATTGGTATCAGTACTGATCTTCCAGATCAGATCCGTCACCGTTTTGTCTCTCCAAATCATTTCATCGACTGGACCACCTATATGCATCACTCTGCTCTCACAAGCAGTGGAGTGGGGTTCCTGCCAGCCATGTATTCATTTTCAGGCCCTACAAGCCTTCCTGAATTTGACCTGGGACATCCAAGTACTTCTGGTCACCTACAGAGAGCAACACTCTCTAACAGGTATGTGGCAGAAGATTTAGGGGGGTGTAAACTCCCTCTATACACTTGTCGGAAAATACACTGGCAGTACTTGAAGTAACTTTTCAATCTTAAACCTGTCATGTTGTGTTTGTGTGCCACAGCAACTGGGAGACAAGATGCCTCAGGAAGCACCGGAGGAGGGTTGATGATGAGTAAGTGAAAGATGTACAGAAAAAACAGTCTTACTTAACATTTGACAATGCGTGGAATACTCAAATATATACATCTATGAGAGTTATAATAAATATCTTAATGTTTTCTTAGGGGATGCAGTGCCAAAAGGAGGAGGTTAATGTACGAGGCAGAAGTGGACATTTCAGAGAACTCAAACACTAGCAATCGTCATGAGTGGCCTACAGCAAACAGCTGCCCGTCTCTGTCTGCACAGCAAGCCAGCCCTGCACCTCCAAAGCCCTGCCCAGCACCTCAGAACTTGACTTTGCCTCAGCCCTTGACTTTGGTGCAGCCCTCCAACCCCCCTCTGTCCCGACCCGAGACGGAGAGCTCCTGTATGGAGATAGAGGCAGCTCAGAGGAGACTTCAGGAGATTGAAGACAGGTACGCAATAACATGGTGGAAAAAGTTGAAAAACTGACAACTACACTTAAATGTGAAAAGAAAAAATATATGGTCAGACTTCCCCAGCAAATCCAGACTTTCTAAGCCCCCTGTGTGAATACAGGGTAAACATGTGTCACGACTGTACACAGAAGTCACCGTAGTTACTCACCCGAGTGGCAGCGCCACATAGACAAAGAAACACAGCTAAATTGGTTGTATGCTGTTGTGCAATCAAATGGACTATTGGCTAAAGGCTAAAGAGAAGCATCATGAAGCGATACTTTATTTTGTTTTTGTTTATCCTGTGCAGGGTCATGGGGGGCTTGAGTTTATTCCAACATGCATTTGGTGAGAGGAGGGGTACAGCCTGGAAACATCACCAATCTATAACAGATCAGAATATCCACTGAAGTGACTTTGATTAGGGTGACTTTTTTAAAATATCTTTTAAAATAGAACCAAGTGTACGCTCTCGTATGCTTTAAGGGTTTGTGTCACGGGTGAGGAGCTGTATAAATGGGTAAATGATTGTTATGTATTAATATTATTATTGTTTTGTGACATTATCTTTAGATATTGTGGGTCCCCACTAAATTCTAAATGAACGTTAAATTGATCAAAATCTGTGACACATCTTAAATATTTGAGAAATTGTTTTAATTATATGATTTTGTTTTAAAAAAAAAACTTGATTGATGATTTTGAATACTTTACTAGGATCACTTTCCAATATCAAGTTAATGTTGCCTGGCTGTTATAGTTTACTTTGTTATTAAATTGTCCATATCACCCACTCTTATATATATATATATATATATATACACACACACACACATATATATATATATATATACTGTATATTACAGAAAACCCTGTTTCTGCCAAACACAGCACAAAGACTGTTCAGTATTTCCGGTTGCAATTTGCTGGTTTCTGTCTTAGTGTTGCAGCTCTCCCAATTCACATCAGCCACAATGGGTTTATTCCGTACTGGTGATTTGTCTGGGGTTTGATCACATGATGAATGCTCTCATATTGATGTATCACAGAATAACGCTGGAGGATGATGACGAGGATGAAGATCTGGATGTAGAGCCAGCCCCGAGACGGCCAGTGCTGGTGATCTCTGACAGTCTAAAGGAGGGTCTACAGCGTGACATCAGTGACATCCTACCCCATACAGTAGCCCAGTCTGTGTATGTTATCCTTTGTTACTGGAACGTTTAATGTTGAATGAAGTAATAACATGACTCGTGTTTCCTCCTTGAACAGCTCTGGACATATTATTTTATATATATATTTTTCGTCTCACCTGCTCTCTCATACTTTCAGGAGCCATTCCTGTATGGAGTTGGTGTTGTGGCGGCCTCCTGAAGATCCCTTCTGTCGGAAGCGAAAGGGCCTATTACAGAAACCGCGTAAACAGCAGACAGTATCTCGACAACCCCCGACCCCATGTCCATCTCCCACCCCTCACAGGCCCCTCAGTCCCTCTGCAGACACACACTCTTCTCTGTACAGCTTTCCTGTGGCCCACAGCTCCGGAGAGGAGGACATGGAAATGTAATAGCGCTTGATGACTTGAAAAGCCATGCCAAAGTAAAAGACTGGACATGTAGTCACACAAAAGACTATAAAGGACTCAGAACCCTGTGGTTAGTTTGGCAAGGCACGTTGGCTTTACATCAGTATTGTGCAGTTTTGGACAATTCGTGCAACACATTTTTTTGCTTTACAGTTTTTTGACTATTACCCCTGTGTAAGATGTAACCATAACACTGACCTAATTAACCAGGTAACTGTCGTGAATCTAAAGACTTTAAAAAGTTCAATAGACAGCCTTACATAACCAATTTTATATAACCAATGTCCTTAGAAATTAGATAATTTGTATATAATTTTGCCAAAGCCTGGCCAACGACACACCGATGTACTGTAAATATGACGTTGCTCTTTGTTAAATATCAGCGTGCAGCACATGAATTTTGTACAGTTCTTATATTCAGCTTCTGAACATCGTTAACAGAACTTTAAAAATGGTTCCTGTGTGTTCACATTTGCTCACAGCATGACTTCCTGCTTGCGGTTGTACTTGTTGTGGTAGAAATATTATCTTCCTATAGTGCTTAGCAAGTACGCCATCTGTGAGCTTTGAGTAATTTTGTAAAGGAGTCATGGAAATGTACCTTTCTATGATTTGATTGTATTACTTGAACTGCAATCAGCCATCAAGTGTTATAACTTGTTATTTGTTTTTAAATAAACTCATTTATTGTCCATGTAGATATTCTGCATGGAATAGTTGCATTTCATTTGATGAAGATTTGCTTGAATTTAGTGAAAACAGTCCTCTTGTTATGTTCACATGCTGTAATCATTATATAGACCGATCAGCCATAACATTATGACCACTGACTGGTGAAGTGAATAACATGGTTAGTGTATGGGATATATTAGGCAGCAAGTGAACATTTTGTCCTCAAAGTTGATGTTAGAAGCAGGAAAAATGGGCAGTGTGAGGTTTTGAGCGACTTTGACAAGGGCCACATTGTGATGGCTAGACGACTGGGTCAGAGCATCTCCAAAACTGCAGCTCTTGTAGGGTGTTCCTGGTCTGCAGTGGTCAGTACCTATCAAAAGTGGTCCAAGGAAGGAAAAGTGGTGAACTGGAGACAGGGTCGAATTGCAGTATTACCTATTCAGGATCAGATTGCTGGAAATGTTCATGCTGGTTCTGATAGAAAGGTGTCAGAACACACAGTGTATCGCAGTTTGTTGCGTATGAGAGCTGCGTAACATTACGACCACCAGGGTGCCCAGGTGGTCGTAATGTTATGGCTGATCGGTGTCCAGTATTTTGGGAACAGTAAGGGTCCCAGGATTAAACCTGTGGAACACCATAAGTGACCAGGGAGAGGGAGCGGGTCCTCTTGCACTGAGTCCACCATGTTAAACCGCCATGTTTCTACAGTTGCTGTTAAATCCTGCACAGTGGTCCTTTAATCTGTTATAATTGTATACATGCATACAATCAGGTAGGTGATTTTTAACCAATTAACTATTAGGTAATTGAATTCAATAGCCTATAATTTGTCACACAAAATAAAATAATTTACTTTGTCCAATGCTATTTTAACGTTTATTTCATGTGTTTTTTTAGCAGTTCAGTTTTAAAGAAATAGGCACCAATCCTGCATTCTCCTTTTAAAAATAACATACTGCATTGGGTGTTTTTTCTACATTAAGATTACAAATTTAGTTGATAAAGACATTTAGAAAAACTTGGCACAAATCCACAGAATTTGTTTTATTGTACAATTTAACATGATTTAACATACTGATTATACAAGGGGTTCCCACGAATTACTGTCAGCTTTATGAGGTTGTCTGACATAAATCACATGATCTCCAATGAAAAGTCAGTTCATCACAGTTCACTGTAACCTTAAGCCATAAAATTTGACTGCCTTCACACAGAGGAATGTAAACTTAATGACCAAATCTTCGGTTGTGTCATTTGTCACTGTGACCTGCTTGTTAATCTGCTATCTTATGCACATGTTACAGTAAATGATTCATTTCTGTTGCCAGAAAAACAGTTTTAAATGCTTGTGAACATTATGTCACTGGTGTGTGTGACCCGCACTGAGTAAGGTTTCATGTCCTTAACTTGAGACTGTCCTGATTGATGAGTGGCCCTGAATCCCAGCAATGTCTTGACCTTGACTGATCTATAAAGAAGACACCAGTATTAGCTATTATTATATGACAAAGAAAAGTACAGAAATAATAATAAAATGTTTTAGTTTGAACATTTAAACAACTGTCTTAGATTTATTTTGTCTGAAAGAGCATTTCAAATCAGATCCAGAAGTGCTGTGATGATGATGCCTTTTGTGTTGCTTCCAGTGGTAGACAGTGCTAGTTTTCATTTATAAATGTAAACAATTCAAACAATTGAAAATGTAGTAAAAGCAATGATTTATCCATTAATTATATACTGATATGTGTCTTTTCAGTTGTGCTATATAATGTCCTGCCTCTACAAAGTCGCTAAGACTTGACTGTCTTTGGAAAGTTAATTTTGCGATGAGCAGCTGTGGACAGTTTCTTGTCATTTTCAAGATAAAAAAGATATATAATGATACGTATGTGGGTTTCTTCCCACGTACATTCTTAGATTCTTATTATAAAACCTTAAAGGACATAGTTCACCTGGGCCCTAAGGTATATTACCAGTACTAATGTTTGCAGTATACTTGTTTATAACCACTGTAAATGCACAGAAAGAGGGACAAGTCAATAATTAACAGTAACCTGCTATTAAAACAATGTACTCACTGTTGTAACATAGGATCCAGACAAATCTAAAGGGACTGCATTTGAAGGCACCGGGCTCCAGGTGTAGGCTTGGTTTTCTACACGGAGCTGCTTGACCCTGCTCTGGAGGTAACGTAGAAGCTTGAATGAAGCTACATCTGAGGGGCTGTGGGGGGCAGCAACATGGAGGGAAGGAGAACAAACTGAATTCTGAGCTTCCTGATGGGGACAGACCGGGAGATAAAAGGTTTTTGTTAAAAAACAAATGAATATTAAATATATTTAGGTTATGTATCTGCAAGAGCCCACACAGGAACAGTAAAACATTTACCTTTGCACTAAGTGTTATCCCTCCTTCAGGCCTCTCAGGCTCTCTGTGCCTCTTCTCCCATGTCTTTGATGTTTTTCTGGAAAACAAACAAACCTGCATTTGAAGCATTATTAGCTGTGAATAATTAAGATAACTAAATTAAGGAGTTATGGGTTTTCAATACAAGTATAGTTAATGTTACATCTATGGTATAAAATGCATATCGCAGTGAGTTGAGGTGAGTTCATGCTCTTGTAAGGACAGCTGGTTAGTATGTCATCTAAATTTCACAGACACAGAAACCAGTTACCTGCCCCTTAACAACTTTGTCTTGCACCTGTAGGATAGCAAACATTAGAGCAAAATGTAAACATAGAACATAAAAAAGCAAAAATATATATTTTATTTGATGGATCAAGGTTTGGATTATGGGCCATTTTTGAGAGAGGAGAGAAGATCATTGATTAAAACTCAACAAAATGAATGTGTCTGTATTTTGACTTAATTTGTTCATGTTACCTTTCCAGTTCAGCTGTCAACTCTTCTTCAAACTTGCACGCCAGACGAGCTGCAGTCTGCTCCTTCCACTGACCCATGCTCCTCTGAACCTGCCTGAGCTCCAGGTCTTTGGCCTTCAGCTGTTTGCGAAGAGATGCTGCCACTCCTCCTCCCTCAGCTCCCCCATCGCACATATGGGTCCAGTTCAGACTGCTTAACTCCTCAATGTGCTCCTGCAGAAATATCACGTGGCATAACAATGCTGTAAATGATGAGCAAGGTTGGGAAGGTCCTAAAAAAATTTAACTAATTAAATAATAAATAATAATTAAAATGTCAGTGACCTAATCCAAGTATCACAAAATTAAAGTAACGTTACTTGATTATTTTCCCTTTTAGGTTATCTCAACACCAAAGAGAGAAGAAATTTCAATAAGATACCAAGAAAATGCCTCTCTCTCTCTGCCCCCCTTCCCTGTCTGTCTTCAGCTGTCACTATAATAAAGGCAATAAAAGCCCCCAAAAATGTACTTTACTAAGAAAGATTTTAGTATTAGTTTAGTATTTTAAAGTATTTAAATTATAATTCTGCTAATCATCCCCATTTTTACTAAATGTAACTGTATCTGACTACATATTTTTTGTATCCTGATGTGGAACACAACTCAGTTACATGTAATCCATTACTCCCCAAGCATGATGACTGAACTGTCTGTGTCTATGTGCACCGACATAAGCTACACAAAGTGTGTATACCTGAATGAGACGCTCCGTTAGAGAATCTAAGGCTTGGTCTCTCTCCATCCTCAGCTGTTGCCTCTGGATGCTCAATTCTCGTTCCTGAAAACATATGAACTTGTATTTATGAGTACATTTAATGTGCTGTATTTGAAAACAGCAATGGGTGGGAGACAGTCTAAACTATACCTTGTCTTTTCTCAGCTGCTCAGTGGTTTGTTTCTCTGAATCAAGCTCCTGGTGTAGCTGGCTAATCAACTGCTTCAACTGCTCTCTTAGCACTGTCAGGTTTGTAAGAGCCTCAGCTACTGTAGGACTACACAACACAAAGCAAAGGCATCAGGATTAGAAGCTAATCATCAAGCATTTACTTTTCTCTAAACCAGACGTGTGTAAGCCAGAGCAGGAAATAATACCTGGGAGGTAGCTGAACAGAAGTTTGTTTGGCTCCACTCTGCTCCACTAAGAGGTGTAAATGCTGGCACTCTGCTCCCAGCTCTTGGGCCCAGTGCCGTAGCTGCTGATCCAGCTCAGCTGTGATTTGGTTATGGCTCCTTTCACTTTCTTCTAGCATCCCCCGGAGCCCGTCAGCCTCTTTCTCTGCCAGGTGAACTGCCTGCTTGAGGTGCAGCACTGCCCTCTGACTCTCCTATGACCACAGACCACATCAGGTCAGCCTTTCAACAACACTATGTCTCCTTATGTGCCTTCAAATGATTGCTTTCTGTGGTTTTCTTGCACCTGTGCCATCTGTCTCTGTAACTTCTGCAGCTCAGCCTGATGCTCCTCTTTCAGTGATTTGCAAATAACAGCCAGCAAAGAGTCCTGCTCTCTCTGCTGTGCACAGATTTCACCCTCCAATTGCTGTACTCTCTTACAGATACAAATAAAATCAGACAGAATTAACATTTACTCTGTAGAGGGTAATATGGTTATATGTCACGGTTGAGAGTGACCTTACTGTTTTTAGTTTCACCACTTTATGTTGAAGAGCCAGTGATTTACTCTTCTCTCGCTGCATCTCACTCCTTGTGCTTTCCAGGATCTTTCTGTTCTGCTCTTCCAGTATCCCACAGTGCACCTGCACAGCTTCCACTTGTTCTGCCTCCCACTTCCTCCTCTCCTCTTCAATAGCTCTGTGCACCTGAATGGGAGCATGCTGTGCATATCATGCAATCGTGTTAAAAATAATTGCATATTTTAGGCAGAGGATTATCACGGTACCTTTTCCGAGGCTTCTACATGCAGCTCCTTTTCACGGTTCTTTGCCTCCTCCTTCTGCTGCTCCAGATAATTTCTCAGCTTCTTTGCCTCTTCTTCTTTTAGCTGCCAGAATAGGAGAAAATCACAACTTGAAAAGTAATCCTGTGGAGTGTTTTTACTTACTTTATATATAGTGTTCACCAAATAGTGTACATTGAGATAGTGTAACAGTAGATTTCAACACATTCGGGGTAACACACTGACCTGAATGGAACTCTTCAAGGACTCAATGTGTTGTGTGAGAGACAGAGCTTGTTCTTTCAAAGCGTTTGCTTTCTCCTCTTCAGACTGCTTATTAACCTGAGGACAACCCGAAGGATTGCTATGTCATTAATTAAACTGTGATGATGTCATTTGAAGAATCAATATTTTAGTTTATTTTTGTCACCTCTTGGATTTGCTGCTCATGAGTCAAAGTCAAATCTTTCTTTTGCTGCTTCAGTGCTGCCTCCTGAATTAAAAAAGAGGAACTCCATTTACTTGTTACTTAATTTGACCTAAAAACCCCCAGAAAGCCTCAGTTTGGCTCAGCACTTACCACCGTTCTATGGGTTTGCTCCTGGGTGTCTTTCAGTGCATTGTAGTGCTGGGTTTTCAGGTGTTGTAGCTCCCCCTTCAGTCCATCTCTTTCTGCTTGTAAGGCCCCATGTTGCTCCTGAAAATCTAGCAACTGCAGCTCCTTCTGGGCCAGCATCCTCTCAAGAGTACCCACTCTCATCTTCCATTCTCCCAGTTCACCCTGCAGCTCGCCTACTTGAAACTCAACTGTCTGATAGAAAGAGATACACCAAGGACAGTATGGATAATTACAAAACAATGAATAAACAAAAAGTGGATGACAGTGTGCCCTATTGTTGATTCTTTTTAATTAGAATTTAGAGTTTGATGTCATTAGGTGCCACCTTGATCTGATCCTTTTTTTGCTTCTGTTTTTCCTCCAGACAAGCACACCTGTTCCTCAGTAAGCTCTCTGCCTCTGTGACCCTCTGAAGCTCCTCACGAGTCTCCTCCAACTTCTGCTCCACGATCATACATGAACACATTTACACGTTTAGAGATTGTTTAAAACACAGACTTTCACACAAATACAAATACCTTCTCCCTGTAGTTTTACTCAGTGCTAAACAATATCTCTTAAGAAAACAGCAAAACTAAAATGACACATTCACAATATAGTTATACTGATAAATTAAACATGTCAACAAAAGGGTAACTGCAAAAAAAAAATCAAAAATTGCACTGAAATTTGATTGGCAAGTTTTTAGTAAACAGCATAATGTGACACAGTGAAATAGGCCATATTTTCTGTTATGACCTTTTGGAAAAAACATACCTATATATACCTAATTAGGTAAAATTTCAAATGTAAAAATGTTTTCATTGAAGTTCAAACACATCACTACCATATAATCTCAATAGCTAAAAGGATCTTTGTGTTATTTTCATCTAAAAAATAAAAATGTCATTATAGTTATTTAGATATAAGTAAGTCAGTACTTCTTGCATGGACTCTAGCTTCTCTCTTGCACGTCGCTGTTCAGCAAACAGTTCTGTTTTGGCACCGTCCAGCTGTCTGTCCATCTCCTCTCTCTCCAGCACTGACATGACGACACTGGGCTGTTTGTGGAACAACAAAAACAGCATAGTATGAATAAAAACCTAACATATTAAAACATGTGAATGACAGATATTGCTGGATTCAGGTCTCTTACCTCAAGGATACAGGACTCTCTCTGCCTCTGCAGCTGGTAACTATAACACATTCATTGTTGTATTATTATTTTACAGCACAGGATTATGTTGATGCAATGTGATGTCACACAGCTTTGTGTAATGCAGCTAATAGGAGTTTTTTTTGTTTTACCTAATAGAGTCCTTCCCTGTCCTGCTGTCTCTCAGAACAAACTCTAGAGTCCTCTTCTCCTTCTGCATCTTTGCTGTCTCTACACTCAGTCGCTCTAAGTCCTGCAAAGAATGCTGGGACATATACAATAAACAGTGAGTATTAGTGAGAATTATGTACACAGGGGCCTAAAACTATTGCATGAAAGATGCTACACTTTACCTTTCTTCTATGTTGAAGTTCAGAGAGGGAGAACTCAACATCTTTTAACTGAATTTTCTTCAACTGCAGTGTCTCCTCCTCTTCGCCACATTTCTATACCAGACACACAAACCAGTTATGTGATACTCACATGTAAACAGGAGAATTTAAAACATTTGTCAAATAACATACTAAAATACACTGGAAGACTCATTCTCACTTGTTGGAGGGTAGAGAGACGCCCTTTCGTCTTGGCCCAATCAGACAGCGTCTTCTCTGATGCCCTCTCGGGCCTGCTTCTCCTGGTCCAGTGATTCATTTCCTCATCTGTGTCCTTGTCATTCTCACCCGAAGAAGACCTAAGTCATGCGTGTATAGTGTATAAATAAGAAATATATGCAAAATAACACTGAAGAGATGCTCAAAATGTGTGTTTAGCAAGTTTTTAAATGTTCTTCTACTTGGTTTACCTGTAAGTTTCTCTCTTATTACGCTGTGCTTTACGGACAGAAGGACTTCTGTTTTGTGCATTTACACAAGAGGATCTGTGGCCTTTGTAAAAAAAAAAGACAGGACAATTCAGCGACATTTAAAGATTTAAATTTTCTTTTATTACTGTGGAATACACAGTTAGATCTTGTACTTTACCTGATGTAGATTGAGGTTCACTTTCTTCCTGTGTGGGTGTTTCATAGTCACTCTGGTTGGTACAGTAGTCATCCATGTCTGTGACAGACTGAATTAGGGAGCGCCATCCTGGGGGGGGGGGTCACACAAATGATGTTAACTGTATTAGTCCAGTTACTACTATTTTCTACATTAAAACAGTTTGGTTCCAGTTTCCAGTTTGGACTTTTTATATATGATCATTTTAAAACGTGTCCCTCCAAAGTTTCTGCAGTCTTTCACCTGGCCGCCTGTGAATATGCTGCCTGACTTGCTCTGTGCAGACTGAGTCAAGGTCACTGTCAATGGACACGGTGTCAAAACTCCACACGGGTACTCCTATAAAAGAAACAAGCATCCTACAGTCACTGTTTGTAGTGTATGGATGTCTGTGCTTGCAGATGTAGAGTAATCTGTGTGTACTACCTGCCAAGCATCTGGCCTGGCCTGGAGAACAGTTGTTGTTCGGCCGTGGGGTTTCATGTTCTGTTACAACCTCTGTTCTGTGAGAGACTGAAAGACAAAAAAAAAAAAAGTGTACAGGACCCATGGAAAAATAAAAGTGCAGAAGCTTAAAAGCAATAATGAAAATTCTGCATGTTTGACAGTTGTTTATCTCCCGAGAGTTTGTTAAGAGAGTACTCACTGCTGCTATCACCAAGCCTCTGCAGTGTGTTGTATTTCTCTCCAGCTCCCTCTTCCTCACTAACATGTGATGTATTTACTCCATTTATGTCAGAAAGACATTTCTTCAGTTCTTTACTTTGGCATGGCTCATTTGACTGGGAATAATAAACAGTCTCTGTGTCTTTACTGCATTTCCCAGTCATTGTTGTTCCTCTTCCGTCCACATTAAAAACACTTTCTCCCTTTTGTTCACTCTGGCAAGTGTCACAGTCTGATATCTCTGTCCTCTCAGCCTCTTCTTCTCGATCTAGTTGCTGCATATTACTCTCTGGCAATTCAACCATCTCGTCTCTGAAGCATCTGACGAAGTCCTCAGTGCAGATGCTGTCTGAAGGAGGGTGGGTTTCTCCTGCCATCCTTCCCTCATTACAGCTGTCTCCAAGCAGCTTCTCGAGCCTCCAGATGACCTGCTCCCTCTGAGACTCCATCTCCTCTCTGTCTCTTGTCCTTCTGTCTAACTTCGGTTTAGTTTCCTCATGAGTGACAGGACCTTCCCAACAGCTTGTGTTTCTCCCTGGGGGACGAGCAGAGAAGAGATGGGAGTTACTTTTGTGGAAAGAATAAGTAAACACTTTGATACAAACAAATGTTACCCAATTAAGACACCAGCCTTACTGTAATATTGTGCATGTACTCATCTTACTCATCTGTGCAAACTCAAGCACACAAATAATATTGACACAAAAACCTGGTGACAAGCAGTACTTACTTTTTCTGTCACTGCAAGTTATTTCCCTAACAGCAGCCTATATTATAAGCCTATATACAATTTGAGATGTGGCTTATATACAGTTAGAAACACAGCTTTTTCCTATAATACTACTGATATTGAAATATTACTTGATGTTTCCTCCATCGTCGGAGTGTCAATCAAATCAAGACAAGACATTGGAGTGTCATTTGTTTGAGTTGTACTTCCAAGGCCTGTGTCTTTGCTCAGAGATTGACTCCACCTAAGAGGAGCTAGAAAAAAACACAGATTATCACCTGAAAACCCCCCAAAAAACATGTGGTATAAGGTGTGTGTTATGACATAAATTACCTGCATCGCTGCAATCAAGCTCTCTGGGTTTCTGGGGCCAGACCTGCATACATTAATCACACTAAATTATAATATATTCCCAATCATATTATATACAGACAGACAGAACTGAAAATCACACACCTGCAGCTGACCAAGCTGAGCATCCATAGCGTCTAGGATGAAGTCACAGTGGTCCAGTTTGAGAGGCGGAGAACGCAGTCCAAACACATCGCTGTTGTCATTGAGATCTATGATTGAAGCAAAACGTGTCAACAAGAGTGGGTGCAAACTCCCAAAAGAATGAGATATACTGCTTATAAAACCTCCGACCAGTGTAAAGAAGCTCATCTGTGTCCTCTGCATCTCTCTCTGCTCCATCATGGCCTCTGTCAGCCATGTACGTACCTATTGAGAAAGATGCAGACATTCACACCCAGTAGACCCAGTATCTACCAGTGGTTAAAGCTGACTGAGCAGTGGTGAGGAGTGGGGGGTTTATGTTGCTCAGTTGTCCAGGTAACCAGGACAATTTAGCTTGTTAGCAAGCCAAACTGACCTCTTTTCACTAAGAGGGCTATAAATTCCTGTGCTTTCCTCTCTCCCACTCCCCAAAATGAACATAAACTAAGTCAGTCCGTTTTAACCCTGTAATGCACTGGTTTCCCTCTCAAATGTCAAAAAGCCATGACTGAAATTACCTAAGTGCAGCCCACTCAGACTACTAATTCTCACATTAATACTTTACTATTAATGGCTTTTACACTTTAAAACCGCGCAGATAGCAAATCACTAACCTGAACCACAGAAAACTAAGTTAGCTACTCTGTCTAAAAACTCCCCAGTTTACCGTTACGTGTAGCTACATTATATATGAAGACAAACAAATATCACATTTGAAATTGCTAAATCATTCAACCGCCATTGTACTGCCTCAATACAACCATAACTTACTCACTTTCAGGGGACAAACGCGGAGACTTTAAATCTTTGCAGCGCGGCTGCTGCACTGACTCTTGACTGACAGGAGCTTCAGTTGGTTGCCCCGGAAACGGTCAAACAGCTCGCGACCCGCACACGGGACAGAGCCAGGAGGAGGCGCGCGCACGGCGGCAATATTAGCGCCATAAGGAAACTCAGAAGGAGAGTTGGCAGGGCCCTCATAAACATAGAGCAATATATTTTAAAGTCAAAGGTGACTGAAATACATGAAATCATAGTTTATTTATTTATTTAAAAAAACAACAAGATCAATATTCTTAGGATAGACGGAATGCAAACCAATCAAGTGCAGGCGATGCACATCACACTTTACATAACACTTATGTGATAAAATTATATAGAATATTTACATGTAATTGAAATACTTAAAGTCACATTTTTTTAGGATACATATGTTTTTCCTAACACGAAGGTCTAAACGATGTGTCAAACTGTTGGAAGTGGAAATCATTCAACTTTATTTATTTTGTGTTGGTCTATAGGTAATCACATTAAATATATTGAGTCTAAAATTAATCAGCTGGTAAAAAATACACATGTGGCCATGATAATTTGTACAGTACTTTATAGCAAACAACAATCATTATATTTACTATTTGAATTCAGTTTGTCAGCCTTGGAGCAGAAGTTGAGGCCCAAACTGTTATTTGTTGTTGTTTTTTATGACTGGTCTTGTATTAACTAACTAAATGTGTACATAGGTACAATGCAGTAGTCCTACACTAGCACACAAGACATCTAGTGAGAATTTTATATTTGCAGCACTTGTAGAAGAACTGAAAATTGTGCCTTTGGATCACGACTCCAAACATCATCATTATTATTATTAATCAATGTGAGATCCCAAATATGTAACTCAAACCAATCCCATCTTCCAGTTGTTGCGGAGAGAGAAAATAAAGCAAACAGATATCCACTGTCAACAATAACAACTTTATTATCTTCTTTTTTTCATTATTGTGTCTTTGTTGTTTAAAGACAATGTTATACGAGTATAAATTAAGGGAGAAAATACACAATTTAAAAAAAAAACAGAAGCAAAACCTCAGTTGAATCCGCAGTTACACCTGAATACACCTGCACGTATTTGGGGAGTAAGAGTAGTCAAGGCAGGTCAATCACCTTTGACCTCCTGTACCAGGCCGCTGTTGTGATTTGTCTCATAACTTTCATCATCATACAGATTATTAACATCACCACCATCTCACGACAGAGCCGCGAGGCACAGTCCAAGGAGAAGCAGGGTTCAGTTTAGACAAGGCAAGACGACTCCCCAGCTTCATTAGTTCTGCCTCAAAACTGAGCAGCATTAAATGAGACGGAAGTGTGTGCCGCACACGCACACAAATCAAGCTCATCACGCATACAAACAGTATGAAAACACCAACGTAAGAATAATGGCACCCGTGAGAAGGTAGAAATCAGAACAGTAAATAAAAGCATACAAATTAAAAGATTAAAATCACACCACAGTGAATTAAGAGTTGGTTGAGCTGAAATGAGAGAAACGAGGAAAGGGGGTTTACATTAGAACCCTCTGAGACTGGGAAGGCAGATGAAGAGGGGTTTTTATTTTACTCTACAGTACACTCTCCACATACACTTTGGTTGGTTGTTTTTTTTCCCCTTTCTGCATGAGGCCGACAGCTGTTCTGTTTGAAGCAACAACAGCCATGAAGTGACAAATCTACGCCTCGCTGCGTTATTGCTACAGCTGTCCGATATACTGTACAGGCCCTCACTGAGGCAACTTCAGTAGGCGAGTACTGAGGTCACGTTATTTGGAAATACATTGATTAAAACGTATGATGAGCTCTCCACTATCATTCAAAATATAACATGTACTCTCAAATATAAAATCATCTCAAAAACAGTATATTAAAGTAAATCTCTAGTAACCTCAAATTGATCGCTGAGAAAGGAAATCACAGACTAACTTTCTGCGCCACCATTCAGCGGTGACCTGTGTTCGTTCAGGTGTCACGACTGTGCATGACGATACAGGATTAAATTGACAATTTTTCCACGTAGATAAAATTAAATACGTTGCTGCAACAGTGTCCATCTTTATATGTGACACCCTTGATATGAGTTTAAGTGGATACAACCTCTTGTACCAATAGCTTGTATCTATGTGGAGTGGAAAGACAAGAGGAGAACCAAAGCAGTAGTAAATCAAAGGAATAGTTATAGACATTTTGGGAAGTACACTTTGAAAGATTGATACCACTCTCTTGTTTGTCTGTTTAACATTAGGCTAAAGCCAGCAGCCGGTTAGCTTTGCTTAGCTTACATACTGGAAACAAAGGGAAACAGCTAGCCTGGTTCTGTCTGAAGGTAGAAAATTCCACCTACCAGCATCTCTAAAGCTCACTAATAAACATGCTCTTGTTCGTGTAATTTGTAAAAACCCAAATTGTAATAATTATGACTTTAGAGGTGCTGGTTGGCGGTTTTTGTTACAGCGCCAGAGCTATCAGTTTCTCCCTGTTTCCAGTCTTGATACAAAGCTAAACTAACCAGCTGCTGGCTCCAGCTTCATATTTACTGTAAACACATTAGAGAGGTATCAGTCTTCTGAGCTAGAAAAAGCAAATACATGCATTTCCAAAAATCTCTTTAAGCATGTCATCCTGCACAAGAGATTTAGTGATTAATCAAACTGTGCTCGTGACAACCACAAATCAAAAATGCATTAAAACATTTTATGTAAAAGAGCAGAAGCATATTTGTGCAAAACAAAAAGAAGACGCATCAATCATCATTTACTTCACGATCAAATTATTAAGCGAACAATCTCACAGATAAACCTTTTACCAGCTCATATTATCACACTGAAAATCTCCCTATTTGATTATTCTATGTGAGTTTATTTATTTTCCAGTGCACTTTATAGATCTTTATGGCCTGCACAGCAGAGGAACTGTTAGATGTGTTGACCAATGTAATCATCACTGAACTACGGTTGCTAATGTGCTAGTATCAAGGACTCTATAAAAAAATATTTTCAGTGTGTTAAGACAGTTTTTGGAAATATAAAACAAGAAATCTGCAGCCAAATTGAGGGTGCCTCAGAGTTAACATCCATCTTTGCAGAATCAATCTGGATTAAAAGTTAAAATTACAGCAAATCCTTCAGGCTCATTCAGTCTTTTTTTTTTTTTTTTTTTTCAGATTTGAACTATGCTGTACAGATAACTTAATACTCAGATTAGTATAATTATTCTTCATTTTACAATATCATTCGTTTATCACAAAATATTCACACAAATAGACCAGACGGTAGATACAATACCTCCAGCCTTGAATTCTACATTCCTAACAATAATTACAAAAAAATACTAACTGGTTTTCAAAACTCTTGTCACCGGAGACGTGTAGTGCACAGGTCGGGGACTCTCCCTTGTTCAGTCAATTAAAGGCAAAAGACTGAGGGTACCTTTCGTGAGCTGATCCCAGATCAGCATGCCCACAACACTGAATGAAAGGACTACACATACGTGGGCTGTGTTGAGCCAGGAGCGGCAGCTGCAGGAGTCCTCTGTGGCTGGAGCTGACTGCACAGTGGTGAGCCACAGGAACCAGCCCTGTCTGCTGCTATAACCTCTGACCTCCTGTCAGCTGAAGCCACTCTGGACTGCTCAGAGAAACTGCTCCAGTGTCACGTACAGTAGTTCTAGTGGAAACGTGAGTGACGGAGGATGTGGAGCTAGTGCAATGCACATTATAGAAACCTACACGTTCCTGGATGTACTGTACTGGGTGGTAATTAATTACTGAATGTCTCAGTGTTTTGGTGCAGACTTAATACTATGTATGATTACTGAGAATGATGTCACTGGAAATGGTCACCAAGGATACGGTATGTGTTGCTATGGGAGAGCACCAGAGGACAAGGTAAAAAGTACAGAGTGAAATTTTCTCAACATCAACACAGAGATATGTACTAACCTATGGTCAACCACAGTGAAAAGTGCTTATTCAGTTCTTTAATGGAGGTTCCTATTAGAGTGACATGGATGTTCAGTGTTGTACTGGAGCACTAATGTGTCACAACTAAAGGACTGACTACTGCAGAATTTTACTAATCAGAATCACAAATGGAAGATGTCTCAAGCATGTTTAGATGACTAAAACGCATTGAAGCTTAGAGGCAATTTATATTCAAAAAATTAAATGTCTCAAGCCGTCATATTATCTCTACATGGACTATAGTCTAATTGACTACTTAAAAGACTGCCATTTCATATATCTAGAGGGAAACTCCCAACATTCACAACAAGTAAAATATATTTCTGCACTGCTGCATATTTCATCAGTCATCAGTTCAGATAAATCAGCCTCTACTGTATAAGAAAGAGATGTTAAGATGTTGTTTATGGAGAGCCAAAGTGTTGAAAATTAAATAAGTAAATAAGATATTATACAGGAAAGAGTTATAATAATAAATGCAGACAAAATAGGAAACAATACTATAAAATTGTGAAGTAATTCAATACATTTAAAAAAGATCTTTTATGTTATTTCAACATGCTAATTTCTGATAATTTATTTCCAGATCAGTTTTACTTCTTTCAGACAGTTCTTATTTTAAAAATATCCTTTTTCCAAAGTTTGTATTTATTTCACAATGTCATTTTTTCCAGTGACCGTTTTACTTCATACGTCACAAGTCAATCACATAGGTGGCTCTTCCCTGTTTGTCTCAGGACTTAAATCCCAAATAGCATTATGAAATGAAATAACTATAGTTAATTTATAGAAACTGCAGGATTAAAATAAAACTGAATGAAACTAAAACTGAACAAGCAGCATGAAATACTGTAAAAGAAGTATTTAAAATGTATTAGATTATGTCACAAGGTCATGTTACTTATCTTGGCTGTAGTTATTTATACAAATATGTTTTTCAGAATGTCTTATTTATACAATTAATTTTGAACACTTTGTTTCTGCATAATTAATAATAAAATCTAATAGACACCAGACACCATTTTCAGGCTTTAGCCTCTTTCATAGAAAAGGGGCAAATAATGAGCACTTGAAAATATTCCCATGAAGAAAAAGAGGGAACTGATTTAATAAAGTAGGCCTAGCATCATTTAAGTAGTGCTGAATAAAACAGAGAATGAGGCCCCTAATTGTAACCTTCAGCACTGTTCTGTTTCTATGTGCCTGTTAGTTGTCAGTCTATAATCATGAGCTGCTTTGATGTGGGTGTCTGTCTAATTGGTAAAACTCTCAAATGGGGTGAACACAGAAAAGTGCATTGTGAGTAGGATTTAGAGAGCACCTGATTTCAGAAATGTGCAGGTGCCTTTATTTTGTGGTGTTGCAACTCCAACACCACCTCACATCCACACATTATCTCACTCCTGTTCCAGTATAGTGTCAAAAAGGACTACTCAGGGAACGCCCCTTCTTTTTCCCCCCATAGTAAAAACAGAATGAGAGTGCACATTTGGAGGTACAGTGTAATCCGAGAGTGTGTGAAACATACACATTCTCATGCTCACAAAAGGTCCACATGGTGCTCATAAGCCAGCTACGCCCCATTGCTTAAGGACCAGAGGCAGAGCAGTTCCCTGTCCGATGAGGTTAGGAGTGATCCGGGTAGAGTTCCTGGGTTAGAAGATGTCAGGACACATGCTCCAGTCCTGCCTCTCCTTCGCCTCCCAGTAACCTCCCTTGTACACAAAGTTTGTCTCTCCAGTGACTGAGTCCCTCCTTTGTTGAAACCACAACGGCTGGTAGCCTTCGTATTCTCTGCCTGCGGGAGAAAGCACAGGTGTTACTCAATTGGCGTCTTTAAAGCACACTCTAGTGGAGAAGCCACACTTGCAGGCAATTTCCTGAGCGATCAATTTGCCTTCATACATATGCATATATAGTGGAAGCAATCAATCGCTGCGCACTGCGTTTAGGAAAGCTCCAAATGTGAACGGAGCTCGTGTAACGGTGAACAAGTTGAACTCAAAAGCGTCAATTAAATACAGATTAGCACGATATGTGTGGTGCAAAAACCTGGATCGATCATGGTGAAGAAGAAGATTACAATGACAGTTTTGGAACTCCCTGAAATGAATAATTCATCTGTTTCTTAAAACAGACACGCAGTCAAAAGAGGGAGAAACTGCAGTTTTCTGATGAGCGAACATTTTTAGAAATGTAATGGTCTAAAATGTTGTTTTTCCATTTGTAAAACACAATGAGGATTTAATTTAGAAGAACAAAGCATAAAGTAACTTGTTTACTGTTGAGTCAAAGTGCCAGAAAAGTGCCCACAAGCAATAAAATAGACAGGATGACAATGCAGTGCAAATTAATCACTTGCTAATGTGGCTTCACCATAGCACGCTTGAAGGTTTTATAGTTGTGTCTGTTATTTCATGTAATATATTACTGAGGCCAGATCTACATGAAAATGTCACATGTATGCAGGAAAAAGTCTTATTTTTTCCTGAGTCATTATCTGGAGAAGTTGACAGGATAGGGGTATCATGCAGTTCCCACACAGAGGCAGACCACACAGAGGACACACAGAGGATGGGGTGTGTGTGTGTGCGTGTGTGTGTGCGTGCGTGTTCTGTGTGTGTGTGTGTGTGTGTGTGTGTGTGTGTGTGTGTGTGTGTGTGTGTGTGGGGAGTGATGCACAACAGAGGGGCACAGGGCAACCCCCACTCACCAGAGTCATAATCACACTCTGACCACCAATAGAGGGAGGAAAAGAAAGACAAGTCATGGGTACATCGAATACAGTCTAGCCTACGCACAACACACACACACAGGAATGCCACCAGGATGAAAAGCTTCTGCTGAGTTGTCCGTAAAGTTCAGTCTGGCTTCTAGTACACATAACTCCTATTAGCTTGTTTTTGTTAAGCCCTGCCGTCTGACCTGCAGTTACTGTTGTACTCACTAGAATAAGTAGCACGTCTTGAATCCTAACCATTAAGAGCATAAGATTATTTTTATAACAGCTACTGCTTATTAATCATTTTATATTTAAATCTTTGCTTTGAGGTTTGTCTCGGCTGTGTGTCCCAGTAATAACTGTCTTGACAAGCAGCTGTAAACTGCCTCTGATGTTAAATATAGCATACTGTAAAATTATATAAATATGTGAGGCTTTATTGCTTTACTCTGAAGGGTGAAGGACCATCTGGGTCTGGAAGTATTATTATCCACTATAAATTCTAATGTCTTGTAACGCGTTTCTTTTTATGATATTGTCAATGTTCTTTAACACAGAAACACAGTCTTTTAGATAGTTTATCAATACAATCGTTTGTATTATTGCCATCAGTTTTAATCATTTCATTTATATTTTGTGAGAAATCATGTACTTTAGTTTGGTATAGAAGATAGCTCTCAATATTACAATACCCATAAGCCTTAGCTGCCATTGCTATGTAGAAGAAGCTAGCTAGAGGTGCAAATCAAAGCTGCTGCAAATCAAAAATGCTTTGTTCTCGCAACTGGGAACAAAACAATGCAAAATTCATCATGAAATGACCCAGAATCTGAAAGTGAGAATAGTATTTAGCTTCAACCTTTTCATTGGATGTTGTTTATGTCTTTTATGTTTTGCCTTTTGCTAAAAAAACAAGCTATTTTTATATTCAGTTTATCCTTTGTACTTATGATGCTCCAGCTGTCATTTAACATTGTCAGAGGAGAAAATCAGACGGGACTTTTACTCCACTTTACAACCCTATGCCCTTCCCCTACCTTCATTCTTTCCTTCTGCCTGTCTCTGTCTTTTAACTCAGCACCTCTTTGGCTGTCAGACACCACACGTCCTGTTCCACATTTCATACCGTCATCCAGAGCGTCTGAGGCCTCCGCTTCCCTCCTCCTCCTCACGGCTCTTTGTTTCTCCTCTAGCCTCTGTTTTTCTGAGTTTGCCTCATCCCATCGTCCTTCCTCCATCAGTCTCTGGTCTGGTCTCAGACGGCTGTCGGTCAGTCCAACTCCGTCCTCCTGCTCATTCAGGGTCAGTGCCAGCGCTGAGAAGTAGTACATGTTCTCAGCGTTCTCCCTGAGAGAGTAAAAGGGTATTGACGGGAGTTTAGCAGTTTTATGCTCTACAATCAGTGACATTGACTGAACATTGTTATACAACTACTATGACTCATGTATTGCAATGTTCTTTCTGCCTTATGAGGTTTATGATAAAAGCCCTTACGGGAGAGGGTATTTCTTCCACAGCAGTTTTGGGGACGACGTCTGATAGACAGTCTTCTGCTTGCCCTCTGATCCACTCCCCCCTCGGCTGCTCTGAATGATATTGGCACTCTCTATTTTATCATCCCATGTGCCAGAGAGGATGTAGTGAGCCTGGCCCCCACTGTCTGCCACCACACCTGTCACCTGGAAAGGAAAAGAAATCAGAAAATAGTCCATAGGTACAATAAGGAATGAAGAAACCAAAGCAAGCTATCCTTCTGTAGATGTATCACCATGTCCTTTCCTCTGAATGTAATGCACTTATAAGCACAGTCTCCTAGGTAGGACACCAGTAAATTTCCATTAGCTTATCCCGAATCAGTCACTACCAAGGAAGTCAGCCATGTGCCCCATTTTTAGGTAATTGGTACGACTCCAAAGGAGGTTACCTCACTGCTGTGTGACCTCATACAGTGGGTTTCTTCTATATTAGACTACTGTAAGTACCAATTTATTTGTTGGTACTGTCCAGCAGGAGGCAGCATCACACAAGTTAACCATTCATCGTATGACGACATGCCATGGTTGAGTATCAGTGTGGAAAAGAAGTATTTACCTTCCGTGGAACGTCCCTGGAGAAATAACTGTAGGGAGAGAACTTGAGTTGGCAGGTCTCCTTGGTCCTGTGATTCACAATCTCAATGTCCCCCGACTGCGCAAATAGAGACACAAACATACAAAGAGTGAAACACACAATTACAGTGTATTAAAGCTATTAATTCACAGTGTGTTTACAGTCGATGACAGGTCGTTGAACTGAAACTTTAATGGTTAGCAGGGGTTGATCAATAGTAAGTCCCAATGTCTTCTGTTTCTGTTTCTTCCAAAAACATATTTCCAAAAATCTTAATCATTTTTATTATAAGCACTATAGTCCTACATGAACACACCATCTGCTGAAAAATTTTCTGTATTGTGTTTTCTTTGTAGGTGGGATCACATATTTCCATGGGCCCATTAGAATTTAACTATGTGAGAACCAGGACAGTCATTGGATTGCTTGTTAACAGGGAGACCCCGTAATACATGAAATTAATTAAATGTGATCAAACCACACCCACACAGTGTTGACAAATCACATTAGCTAGGATGATGACCTAATGATGTTTTTTTTGTCACAAATATTCAATATTGTACAGAAATACTGTTTTTGTTCCAGCTGCTTTAAATGTACTATGTGGTGTTTACAACTACTGGCACTGTAGAGCAATATTTGATGAGTAGGTCACCATATTGTTTGTACTGTGTGTGTTCTACCAGCAGGTGCACGAGGCTGATGATGATAAATATTTCTGGCCACTGCTGAGGATCATACCTTTCAAGTCTCATACTTAGCCTGTGACACACACTTTTGTCTTTGGCTCAAGGATTGTAACACTGTCAAACAAAATAAGAAGTGTTGGCTCTAATCCTAGTTCAGTGATAATACGCCCATGTTGATGCAGTGTCAATCGCCCTCTCTGGCTTCACTTGCTTTGCTCCTGACAACACTGTTTGCCACTGCACTGGCTGACAGCAGAGAAGACAGCAGAAGAATAGTTTCCATAGTTTGGTGTGAAGTTGTTTGCTGACCCTGTTCTGCACCAGAAGGCAGCAGATTGGCAGAGCGATGCATGAAGGCAGAAGGCAAAAGTATTGAATGTAGAAAGCAAAACAATGAAGAGTAAAAAATATCTAAATATTAGTGAGACTTTTTCTCACCAACTGAAGTTGGAGAGAGGAATTTGTATCGACGTGAAGGGTGTATTGTTTTTGCAGGACTAGTAACTCAAATGTACATGCCGATAGCAAAATTAACCATGACAGCTATTTTTATTGTACGTTGTCGCTAGTTAGGCTACACTACAACAAATCCTAAGTTTTCGAATAAAAACAGGGTTTGCATAACAAGACCACAAACAGATGTCATGACAAAATGTAATCTATGGAGGTTTCAAAACATTGAAAAGTGGCTTTGCAGTTATTATTTGTTTTGATACAAAATGCTGACATACATCAGTATGAACACTCTCAAAGAAACATTAATATCCAGGAAACACTGGATATTTGTAAACTATTCAACATTACCAACTCCTTTTTCTTCCTGTTTTGGCTTAATAATTCAGAGCTGGTACTTTTATAGTAGTCTATAGATGAAGATGTCTACACATATGTGTGTGCTGGTGCTGAGAGTAATAATTCAGAGATGTAAATTAATCTGCCATATTCATACATGCAAACACAAGCACACGGATATTTATATGACACACAGCTCAAGCAGAAACAGAAAAAAATGAATAGAAAAAACAATTACAAACAGACACAACCCTGCACAGAAAGACAGGCATGCAGATGTGAAACCTGCTCCGCTCAGCTCCCCCAGCGCCCCCAATATAACTGGGCCATCTCTTACAAAGAAGCTGTTATTTTAGGGTGTTATTAGAGATCAAAGCTAAAGATAAATCCCTAGAGATTGTGAAGCTCCTTATTCATGTACAGTAAGGCTTCGCTCTGATTCCCTTCTTCACAGTGCTCTTCTCTGCTGGTCTCTACCAAACACTACTGCAACACAGGAGGGAAAAAAACATCTATGGGCTAGGGTTGTGGGTTTGGAGCTGTGGATGAATGAATGATACCAATGAGAAGTGCTGGCAAACAGACCTGATCAATCCATAATTTGCCCACAATGATGTTGTGCACTGTGGACGTGACCTTTCTCCACACATAGTGGTTCCCGCTGGAGTGAAACTGCAGGTGAATGGCACCTGGGGAGGGTACACAAACAAAAGGCTATAAGAGAAAAGAAATATCACAGCTGTTTTGTTACTAATCAGCAATTCCAGACCTGAAAGTGATGTGTTAAATTGTGTATTTGCTTTTGTGAATCAAAACACGGTCAATTCTACCAGCAGCAGCTTAAAAACGCGTCCTCTAACACATTTACGGCCTGTGCACAGGCGATACATTTTCACCTACTTCCAGTGTGACCTAAACCTTGAAGATTGATAACATGTATTTGACTGTAAATGCTTTCCACTTCAGAGTTTTTTCTATTACATGGCATCTCACAGCAGGCAGGAAGTGAGAAAAATCAGATAAATACCACAGCATCCCTTGGCTGGACCTACATCTATCAAATTTCTCATTTATCTGAGCCAACAGACCCCTGCGCTCTGCCGTCCCAGTGCAATAGAGAGCTCCCTTTATACCCATACTTTATGTACGTGTCAAAAGGGTCATAAAACTCTCGTGATTCATTCTCACACCCTTCATTCTCACACCCTTTCCTCTGGCTTTAGATTGTGTAAAAGGTAGCACAGTCGTCTTCTACTCTCAAGAGGGAGTCTTTCTTAACTAAACTCTGCCTGGTGTGTAAAATAATTTGCATGATGGGACCTTTATTTACACATATAGTTTGTTTTCTTCCCATCTGAATATGAAATGTCTCACCCAGAGGCATTATGGAGAGGTATTTGCCACGGAACTTGCTGGCGATGGTGATTTCCTGCCACAGGGTCCAGCCTCGTTGGGAAATCACATGATGTGCAGCTGCAGGAGGGTGATGGCTCACCTTTAGAGGAAGATAGACATCAAAGTAAAGCAAAATATAGGAAATGTGTTCATATAAGCAGAAAACGTTTATCAACTTGTTGTTGGAGAACATAGGCTGACCTTGTGTACTTATTTTTACACACAGTTTGTGGGTCTTGTGTGCACGCACATCGGTGACTAAACAAAAACTCCCTGTAGCTGTGCTGTTACCTGCTCACACAGCGAGCGGTAACCAAAGTCCTCCAGGCGATCAAGCTCGTAGGTCTCGCCCAGGAGGGGGTTGAAGGGCTTGGCTGTCCGGTGTACCGTGGTGGAGTAGGACGAGACGGAGAAGGCAGCGACCAGGCACATCTGCTCCAGGGAGGAGTCGCAGCGCGCCGCCTTGTCCAGGAGCTCATGGTACTCCAGGTCTTCAGTGAGACGCTGCAGCATTGACAGAGGCTCGTTGAAGTTTACCTGAATGGGAGGATCAAGAAGGCGTGAGACACACACAGATTGGCACAGATTCACTTGATAGAGGGTCATGCTTTATGCACTTACAGGCATGGGAATTTTGGAGAGCTCCTTGCCGATGCAGTTCTTCATTATGCTCCACAAATTGAGGGAGTAGTTGGGCTTGTCTGGGACATGAGTCCGCCTCTGTCTGCGGGGCTGCAGCTCCTTCCCTGACACATCATTATAGCTCGGAGACATCTGGGATAAGGTGCAGGAGAAGGAGTGGATGAAAAGAATATTAGACATATACAAGTTTGAGAAACACTTTCAACTTCATGGACAGCTTGGCAGCATATCACCAAGTGGAGACAGAATGACAGAGCAAGGTAGAGTCACAGATGTGTGTTAGAGAGAAGAAGAAACCAGGGAGAGAAGAGCAGATGTTTGACTGGTAATTAAGATTTAGTGGAATGAAGCAGCTGTGTATCTTGTGGCACCACAGGGGTGACAACAAGACCGTAGGAAACACAGACAAAGACTGCGTGTGTGTATGTTTCTGTGAGGACGGGATGAATGTCGGGTAGGAAAAGGAGGACTGTGAGAACAGCAAGTGAAGACGGGTTATATAAATAAATCAATGAGCTGTGAGCTTTCCAGCAGCACAAATGAATCTATTTCGAGATTACAAAAGTCAGTAGTGTTCACAAATGTCAGTCCTATTAGTCAGACTTGTTAGGAGGACAGACACTTACATGGTCGTCCTGGTTCCAGTCACTGGCCTGACCTCCGCTTGCTCCACTCAAATTACTCTGAGATCGCCTGGAACACAATAAAAATATTTTCTACAATGAGCACTGGACATATAAACAGACTCAATGTCCTCGCTCTTTCATTTCCAACACAAACACACACACACACGCACGCACGCACACACACACACACACACACACACACACACACACACACACACACACACACACACACACACACACACACACACACAAGAAAGCAAACAGGTTGCAATGTATTACAGATGAGTGCTGTGTTTCCATCATTCTTAATGGTGCTACTGGAGTTGTGGGATATGTTTCAAGAGATGAGCCATAACAATGAGAAAGAAAACACTAAAAGACATTTTTTGAAAGTAAAGAAAGAAAGTACGAGCTCTGGAAAAAAACAAGTGGAGTTGGCAGCAAGAGACTGACTCCAATGCAGTGAACAAATATGCTATAAAATATACTGAGAGAGCAAAAACAAAAACAGAAATTGGTTTATTTTGCTGCAGGAAAGCAGACAGGAATCTTATGTTGTGTTTTATCTGTGTAAGTCAGAGAGAACATGTCACAAAATCCAAGAAAGAAGGGCACAACACTCTGTGATTTGTGTGAGTGTAAGTTAAGTTATCACACCATGAGCCACCATCAGTAGCTTGTTCAGCTGTCAGCCAAAATCCCCATTATGACAAATTAGAGCATCCAAAGAAATGGTTTATTGTGATTACATATGCACACATGCTGGTCTAAATATTAAAACTCAGCTAACTAACTCCAGTTGTCCCTGTGTGCGACTGACCTGTGCTGTGTGTTCTCAGCAGCAGTCACTGTGATAAATGCAGGGGAATCCTCCATGGCATCAAAGTACTCAGTATCCTCATCTTCATCACTTGCCTCTTCTTTGCGCAGCCTCTCACTCCCTTCAGTCAGGACATATATATTTGTAAGTAAACAGCATTCAAAACTAGCAGAACCATAACATGGCAGTGAGTTTGTATTTTACAGAGTTCAGGAGAGCGCAGCATATAATCACATACCCATGGCGATTAATCAAGGAATAATCAGCTTACTAAAATTGGCAATGTTCCTGCTGGTTAACTAGCCTGAATGATGGGAGTTCCTGAGGGTGTGCTTCTAATATTCAGTATCTGACATTCAATTTTCAGTATGTTTGGGGATTCGTTATGTCCATAAACTAGAGCTTCCAACGGAGAGGCACAAGTCCTTATATCAGGTAACACTTTCCAATAAAAATAGATTCTATTAAAAATTAAAACTATGACCTTCAGTCATCAAACAACCACCAATATGGTCTAAATATATTGTAATTCCACAAAACTGTTGTTTTTCATCATATTTTATTTATTTTATATATATATATATATATATATATATATATATATATATATATATATTATTTCCTTCTCATGAACACACCAAAGGATTATGAAATGCTTTTTCACCACTCCACTTTTTAAACGAAAAAAGACTTATCTCTCTGGTAAACCATCTCATTTAAAGCTACTGTATAGATGTCAAAAAACTATAAAGTCCAGCCAAAGTTTGACTGTTCACTTCAGTTCAACAGTCTAAATCCTTATAACATTCAGTGTCTTCCCAAATAACCCATATGAATCTTTCCTTATGTTCTGCTTCAGTGGTTAAGGTACAATAGGTACAGGCAACCTGGTTACTGTTATGAAAAGACTGCTGGACTCAAACATTAAGGTCTCTGGTCAGTCATAGGACATCCCATTCTCCAGTTTTAAAAACACTTGTATGCTCCCTGTAACTTTAAGCTGTACTATAAGAAAGTTACACTAGTTCCTGTTTTGGTACTGAATGTGGTTTTAAGCTATTTGTACAAATGACTAGTGCTGTCATATTTCAAGAGAGAACAGTCTCACACTAAAGGTAAGGTCATGGGGTCACTGAAATCAATGGGTTTCTTGTTGTGGAAGGCACGAATACGGGCATGTTTGAGACGAAGGGTCAGGAGATTTGAAAACTGTGTTAGAGTAAAGGTCATGAGGCACCAAATTTCTCCTCTTGGAGGATGGATGTACGTAGCTAATGTCATTTCCAGTCTGGGCATTTGTTTTTAAGATATATTGGTTATAGGTAAACAAACAAATGGATGGACAGACTGATGGAAGAGACCACACGATCTTTGGTGAAGGAAATTACCATCTCCAATTTAACGATAATCCAATTCAGACCTTCTGACACAGCTTAAAATGTCCTTCCTCCTCATGAGGAATGTCTACAATATTGAGCCTGAGGTCACACAGGAGTAAGGAAGTCAGTCTCACCCTTGTTGGTGGTAGGGGCACTAGGTGCGGTAGAAACAAGCGTGGGTGCTTCTCTCCACGCTCGCTCCAGGCTGTTATGCTGCTTGGCTAGCTGCTCAATGGTCTCCTCTAGGTGGGTACGCTGCTCTCGCTCATACTGCAGCGCCCGCTGCCATCTCCTACTGTGAGTCTCTGCTAGGTCCAAGAAGTCTCGACACGCCTGCAGGAACACAAGTACATAAACACACAGACAGCACTGAAAGTTACATTTCTATCATATACAGTCTGAAAATGTTGATTTACATGGCAAAAAAAAATGCTGTTCATAATTCTTAACAAGGTACAAGTTACTTTCCACTTGCTGACTGATGATGACTAACAGCAATAAATTATAAGTATATACATTTCCCTGACAGCTTACAATAATATGAGAACACTGGGATGGAAAAAGGTGTAAAGACAATGTGTCAATCATTGTAATCAAGACTATTTATCACTATTGTTTCGAGCAATCATCCATATGTTAATTAGCTGTCTGCCAAGCATTTACTGGGTCTCCCTGCTGTGTCAAATGTGCCTTGGAGCATAGCGTAAACATAGAATTCATCAGCAAGTGATGAGCTAGAGGTTAAACATCTGATTGCATTGCAGACTATATTTGAGTCATTGTTGCTGCCTTGCTTTTACTGCAGAGACAAAGAGGTTACTTCAGAGCAAACATATATTTCATGTCAGCATTTGCTGGCACTGCGTGTCTGACAGCCTTTCCTCATAGTGAGCTCAAAGGTCAATGAACTCAAATGAAACCTTACTGAAAACATGCATGATGAAAATGTCATGTGACAGTCATTGAGCTGACAGTATAGTAGTGGGCCTCAGAGGAGGGTTTCTGAGTAATCATTCTGAAACTACTTTACCACAATTGAGCAATTTTGTAGCATTTTGTGGTGGGTTGATCATTGTTCTTCCCACGTGAATGGAACAGCACATGACTACACATGGTCTTCTCAGTATTTGCAACAAATTTCTTATTGGTCCCAGAGCCAGAGGGGCTGTTGAGAGTCAGTTTGAACCACTTAGAAAAAGATGTGTCTGCAGGCGGAGAGCTGGAGTGAAGAAGCTCAAATAATCACTGTTCTCAGTCTGGTAAGAGTGCAGTCAGGATGTACAGTATCACTTTTAGGGCAGCAGGAAGAAAAACAAGGATGTGGTAACACTTGACTCTATCCTTGATTTGTTTTCAGAAACCAGGATACATATTTGTCTGCTGAAAAAGTGCTTATCAGCCCCATCCCTGACGCTCACACTCACACACACAGTCCCTGAATATTTAAAGAGATGATATTTTTAGTGAAATTTGAAAGCTATTTCTAAACATCACATGATATGATAGAGACAAAACCAAGACCAGAAACGATACAAGCTCATAGCTAAAACTACAACTTAACGACCAGTGTGTAGGATTCAGTGGCATCTAGCAGTGAAGTTGCAGATTGCAACCATTTGAATACATTTAGCCATGCAGGAGAAACTATGGTGGCCACGAAACTCGCAAAAGGCCCTATCTTAGAGCCAGTGTTTGGTTTGTCTGTTCTGGAACTACTGTAGAAAAATGGTGGTTCAACATGGCGGCCTCCTTGGTAGAGGACCCACTCCCACTGCAGATAAAAACGTCTCATTCTAAGGTGATGAAAACAGATTATTTCTGAAACATTTTTAGCCTCATAACAAAAAAAATGGAAAAGCTTGATGTGTTTTCAAGTAATATATAACTTAATATACCGCATTATTTCAAAAGACAAGATACCACACTATTATCATACATGAATGATCCAATTTGGTCAGGCTGTCCAATTAAGGTAAGGAAAATAACTTTAATTTGTTAAGGGCAAGTAGTAAAGTAGTAAGTTGCTTATAGACCGATGGTAATGGTGTAATTTCATTATATGTTGACAATTCTAAAATATTAGAGTTTTAGAATAGTATTCTATATATAATATATATTATTAGACTAAATCAATGTATTGAAATCACAAAATATCTGATAGTAAAAAAAAATCAGTCTCTTACCTTCAGTAGTCTTGCATCAAGTGTCTAAACATCAATGTCTGAGCCTCACTTTAAATGTTATAAGTGCATGTGACGTTTATGGTCTACTTCCTCAGACATAACCATGATATGAAACTCAACACCCACTTAAAAAAGTATAATAGTTCCACTTTTTTTATGCTGAGTGTCCGGTACAAACGCAGACTGCATGTGACTTCGACTGGGGGGAAGCCGGGGTTTATAGAGGCTAAAAAAGTGAATGGGCATGTAGAACGTGATATATGAGTAAGAGGTGGCTGTGTCAAATTAAAAGTCCTGATGCACTTTGCAGAATTTGTGACATAGCAAAGAATACAGTGGACTTGAGTAAAGTGTGTTTAAACCATACAAAACAAAAGTGTAAATGCATGCACACACAAACAGGCAAGAGCCTGGATTCAGTGACACACGTGAAAAGTTACATCACCACTGAATGAACGAATGCAACCCTCTCCTCTGGTCCAGGTCAGATCGCAGAAAGCATGCAGTTGTGTCTTGCCATTATGGCCTCCTTCTTGCCCCAACCCCTCCCCCCTCTTCTATGTATAGCCTCATTTTTTGGGAAAAACACATACAAATCTACAGTTATTATAATATTTAGAGCAAAGTACATGTCTTAAAAGTGGCCCAAAAACATGACTGCAGAAAACCAATTACAAGACTGAAAATCACTGCAAGGAGTTTGTGGCAGCGCTTTTTCTCGTTAGAAGTACATTCTTGGCAAACCTAATGGCATTTTAATGAGTTAGGCAATCCAAGAGGGTCTATTTTATTGCTTGTCCAGTAAGTTTCAATTTCCCATACAGATTAATAAAAAACAAAATGGATGACAGAGAGAAACAAGGGGCTCATCATTTTGATCAATAGCCTTTCCCATAATTAAAGTGCAATCTAGATTTTACCCCCTTACCATAACACTATGGCTGAAGTCTCTTAACAAGCTGCTTTAGCACATACGTCAGCCTAGTAGGAGTTATCATTTCCTACTGCCTGATTCAAACTTAATCTTAAGGTAACAATACTCTTTTCAACCACGTTTATCCACGACTGAGTCGGATTAAATAACAGACATTTCAAAGAAAAATTAGTCAGGCATGCATTATTGTAAAAAACAAACAAATAAACAACAGAAGCAGGTAGAAAGACAAACCTTGTGTGATTGTGTGGCTTTAGTCAGAGCAGGTCTGTCTGTCTGTCTAACTGAGGTCCAGAAGGCTCTGACATTCCTCACCAGGCAGGGAGGGAAGAGGGTTTGAAAGGAGGGGGGCAGGGGCTATTCCTGTCTGCCCCCCACCCAACTCACCCACTATCATATCTAGTATCATTCCTTCAGGACCTCAACCATTCCCTGAACTCTCTTCCACTAACATACTGTAAAGCCCATGGTATTTACCATTGAGGAAAATAGAACAGGGCCGGATACAGTAGAGTATTATTATTCTGATGCTGGTAATCAGATCCAACACACAGTGGTGACTGAAAACCTGTTAGTGTTTGCTGTTATAAAATATGTGGCCAAACTGCAATCTGTTAATGTGAAAGAGAGTTTTTATGTTTCATTGTGAGTTTTGGGGGAGCTTTTTCTTATCAAATGAAAACTATAAGGATAGTTTCACAGGTGTTGTACAGACTGTAAAGCCCTTTGAGGAAAAGTTGTCAGTTTGCCATTATAATCTAGCTCAGTTTGACCATCATTTTTAAACATTAAGTTAGAGACGGTAGATTTCAACAGGATCTGATAGGGTCTGGAGCTGCTTCTCTAAACCTGCAGCCTCCATGCCTGCAGCTCACTGACTCACGTTTAACATGCCACAGTATGAAGTGATCTCATCTTTCATCTCTCACTAACCAGGGCATTATAAATGACAGCACTCCTGTCACACTTATCTCTGCTCACTGCCGTAGCCTCGTCAGTCCCAGCTACTTACATTGATCATAGCATTGGAAGTGATGCGGAAGAGGGTGGCTCGCTCATTGACTGCCTTGATCTTCTCCCCTCCCTCCACAGGGACCTTCAGACCCTCGAGCTCACTCAGGGAACGCTGCAGGGCCGCCCCATGCTTGGCGATCAGGTCATTACACGTGCTGAGGTCATCAAGCTTGCTGACAAGTATCTTTAGGGTGCCCTGAATCTCGCTCCGGTCCGACTGGGATGTAGGCTCCTCGTCCCCAGAGTCATCTAGAACAGAGAGGTCAGACGTCATATATACACCATCTTGTACAAGAGAGGGTTATTGCGATTTGTGAGTACATAAGTCATAAAAGTTTAACGACAATTTTTCCTTCCTTTACACTTCTAACTACATAGCTGTTAAATATGTTCCCAAGGTACCACGGCAAAAAAATATACAACTCCTCCATTGCTCAGTGACGTCCACTGGCAGATAACTCATTATAGAAACAACAATAGTGTTCAATCAGCAAAGGTAGGCTGCCACTGTGGCCACGAAGACTTTTCGATGTAGCTTCATTTTGGTAAGATATTGTTTGTTAAATAATGAAATCGATTAAAAAAAAGTTTACACAATAACAAGACAAATTACTTTATCACTATGACAACAAAACATTTAACATTTGCACTCATGAAATTAGTGTTAATTGGACAGCCGTTAGTATGATTTTACAGATGGTTTCACATACATATCACCCATTAGACAGTGACACATTGAATGTGACTCTGACTGTAGAGATTCTTAGAAGCTTATCAAGTGTAAATGTAAGCCCCATCAGGGCATTTCATATACAGAGAGCTTGTCCATACCCATGAGGCTTTGCGGTAGGAGCTGGCTTTCACTAGGATGGTTACTCAAGCTTAAACAGAACATATGAGAACAGTGTTGCACTGTCAGCACTACACTACACACGCATGTATGAACACCCTGCACACACAATCACACACAGTTAGAGGCAAAAATATACCAAGGGTACAACGAGGTCCATAAACAGCCTGGTGCCACTGTAAAAGGAACAACCCCACCCCCCCTAAAAAAAAACAGAACTCCTGATTTCTTTAATTAAAGTAGATGTAGACACAATCTTCCTTACAAAATTAATTATATTATGAAGCCCTTTTATTGCAAAACACCTTTTGAAACAGCTGAAGAAATATTTGCACACCCGTGCATCAAATCTATATTCGCAAAGAAGAATATTTGCCAATATAAAATCATGTTTGTGTTTCCGTTTTAATAAATCAGGCTAACAAAACAAGCCCATATGGCGGGGATGAATTTAAAAAAGCTTCAATGATGGCACATTCTGGTATGCTAAAAGGAGCAACATCCCAACAGTCCCACCAGAGGGACTCTGCTGCTGACACAATGTACTGTGCTTTATGATGCTGCTCCTGCTAGAACTTAATAAACAGATGACAGACATGAGGAAAGAGCAGGGGGACACGGAGAAAAGTAAAGAAAATGAGGACAAAGAGGAGGAGGTGTTGATCTTAACAAGGAAAATATATTTCTGTAATAGCGAGGTTAAAGGTCTGAGTGCAAAAAGAAATTCTCAGGCACCCGGTTAGCTCACTGGGTAGAGCTGGCGACCCACGTACCGAGGCTGAGTCCTTGCTGCAGCGGCCCAGGGTTCGAATCTGACCTGCGGCCCCTTGCTGCGTGCCATCCCCTCTCTCTGCCCCCCCTTTCCTGTCTGTCTTCAGCTGTCCTATCAAATAAAGGCAATAAAAGCCGGGAAAAAAATTCTTAAAAAAAAAAAGAAAGAAAGTCGTCCACCCTGCTGACCCTCTAATGTCTAGAAACTGCTGTTCTGCTGTCTTCCACACGTTACCATACAGAGCATGCTTTGTCACATTAAAAGGTCTGTTACGAGCTGATAGCAGAGACTGTCACAGTCTTGGTGAGAGGCAGCACCAAAGAAACATTTTCTCCTAAGAACATGGTAGATGGCTGTGACCTCGCTGTGGAAGAGACTATCACCTCTGTCAAGTCTAATTACATCATACGAGTATAACATGGATCCCCACCAAGGGCATGCTGGTAGCCTTACAGTTTCAGGACTACATCATCTAACAGCAATATACTGAGTTCAAGTATGATCTTTGTCCAGTCGAACGTCCACCGAGAAACAAGAAGCACAGAGATATACCCATTAAATGCTTAGTAGAGCTGACGTTGATAAATTGTAAAAACTCTGCTGTTTCTCTGACTTATTATCCAGCGCCACCATCAGGTCAAAATTGCACTTTGTCTAATAGTTATGACTAAATACTAGAAAACCTACAAACATTTTTATCAGCCTCAGCTGTACTTTGAGTTTAGTCCTAATTGGCAAATGTTAGCATGCTGAAACGCTAAACTAAGATCGTGAACATAGTTATATTAACATAACTTTACACTTGATAAGCTTCAGCATGTTTGCATTGTCACTGAGAGCATGTTTGCATTGTCACTGAGAGCATGTTTGCATTGTCACTGAGAGCATGTTTGCATTGTCACTGAGAGCATGTTTGCATGATGCTTCTAAGAACAGTCTCACATAGCTGCTAGCATGGCTATAGGCTGTTTAAATGGCCTCAAAAAATATATTTGGCATTTGTTGTCACTTATTGGGCAACATATCACTTCCTTTCACATCACTTTAATGGCCACACAATCAGAGAGGAATTTGTTTTGTGCAACCTTGTAAAACACTTATAAACTCATAAAACACAGTGCATTGTGTAAGGAGCATTGCCTACACAGCAAAGTTGATAAAGTTGGTATAGTTGCATATTTTGTAAACTAAAATTAACTAATATTAGCCATGTCACGATTACAAACATAAGCACAAAAGGAAAAGGAAAGGAAAAGGTTACTGTACTTTAAGCACCAAATATGATGATCATAAATAAATGGAGGTGAAGTAACCACATCTAAATGGAAAGAGAACCAAGAGCTGTGAGAAATAAGCCAGGAGAGGGTGTGCAAAGTGGAGAAAGAGAAGGGATGAAAACAATCTCTCACCATATTTGTATTCCTCTGCATCCATTTTCCCCTAAAGGTAACCAAAGTTCAGCCAGGAAAAAGCAGCACACACAGGCCACTGAGCTCTAGCCTCCGAGGTAATGTGTGAACATGTTGAATAGGCTTTCAGAGAGACACAACTATCTGGCCATTAAAGGGAAAAACAAAACAGTCCAGCCAAAAGGTCAACCCAGAAGCCCTACAGCAACGATAAAACCTAAAGGGAACATGGATCAGAATCCACCAATAAGCAGCCCAGAGAAGGAATCAAATTACACTGAATTTCAATAAAGTCACTGCAGAGAAACGGAGGTAAAGAAGAGGAAAAAGCTGACGACGTAAAGTCAGAAAATTGACTGGAGAGTGCGTCGATAGACAGGCATCTGCAGTGTAAAAGAAAGCAAGAGAGAGTAAAAAGATGTGAGTGAGAAAGAGCAACTTCAGAGAGAGTTTGTAGAGGATAATGAAATAAGCCCTAAATTGATAGAGTGTGACTATGGCAGAGCAGCTTTAAACAGATAAGTTAGTTGGCTAATTGGTGTAGTTTTGAACTTCCTCCCACGAGGCAACAATAATCCTGCCCCGAATCACATTTCATAAGATATATTTATTAATAGGAGTTCAAAATGAGTCATCAAAAATATGTTGAGAGGTATCTTTATATAAAAACACTTAAGAATGATATTTTAACATATATTTATCATATAAGAGAAAAGAACAATTGACACAAGGACACAGAAGAAGAACTTGGAAAATTCATTTTTAATTTCACTGTGTCTTAAAGAGAATCGGAAAATTGCTTCTGTAGATACTAAAATGGTCTCAAATAACTGAGTGACTACCATCTGCCATGAAGTTTTATTTGGAAATCTTTATCGGGATATATAAACTTAAATAAAATTTGAATTTATCTAATTTGCAGAATTGGAAAAGGCAAGTTATTACAACTCCTTATTTCCTATATCTGTATTTGTCAATTTAAGGCAGTTAGTTTAAGCACCAAGTTTCCTCAATTTTGAATCAGTATTAACAGGAAGTTGTGTATCACACACGAACAAACAACTAGTTCCGCTGGGTGTTTCATGAACCAAGGAAGGGTTTGTTGAGATTGTGTAGTGAAGTGAAAGGACCTCGGTTAAAAGCATAATGCATCTTGCCCTCAAGTTTCTTTAAAATCTTGACCCTCCACAAAAACATGAGACTATTTTCTCTTCTGTTGGAAAACCAAGGTCACTGAGTGGCACCCACTGTTGCAGCAGCAGAAAACTCAACCCCAGTGCTCTGCACCACGTCCACATTTGAGTGTGAAATTACAGAGCAGGGTCTGGATAATATTAGGATAAAAGCAGGATACTGTTGGTCTTTTGACATTTCAGAGGTGTTGTAAGTGAAAATGAGAAGCTCATGGGGCACTTTGACCGAATAAGCATTGAACACATTTAAATGAGTTCTTGGGACATTTAAAAGTAAACTAAAATATATGGCAGAGTAGAGACATTTGCAGCACTGCAGTGGGGCCTTGCTCTTATTATTCACCCTCATTCTGCCAATGAGTTCAGCAGCTCTTAGCGTCGCCACTTAAAAATAAACTGTCACATGTACCAGGGCATATTTGTTTAGAAGAGACTCCACTTACAACACGTCACCTGCAAAACTAATTCTCTCTTTCCAAAACCTCACTGAAACAAGAGTGAGCTGCAAGAACACACATTTTGCCCGGTGGCTCTACAGTATAGACACCCTTCAAGGACAACAGGAAATGAGGACACAAAGCTTTCCGCGATATAAAATGACGTAAATGAAGTATGTCAGAAATGCCCTTTCTGCAATGTCCTTTCCTTCACTGAGCCAGATCCATATAGCATCAATAAAATGTCAAGCAAGTTTGAATACTGGATAATAAAACCCTTTAAGATGCCTAAACATATTCTATCAACTGTATATCACTCAGACCTGGAATAAAAAGTGAAGACTGGGTTTTACACTAGACCTGATTGAATAAAAAGCCAATCTATGCTGTCTGTGCATCAGAGTCATTGCTTAGCTCGCCCCCTCGCATTTCCAACCCCTTCCTTCCCAACAACAGATGTGGATGGATGGCTCTCTGTAGCAAAGTGGACACCACGAGGCAAGGCCAGGAGCCCATTACCACGCAAGTCATGCCTCAAGGGCGGACTACCTCCCCCCTCCCCCACAGCCTACCACCTCGGAGAACACC